ATCGCTCACGCCTGAAAGAGAACAAAGGAAATAGTCAGTAACCTGATTAGACATGTACAACTCTACTGGTGGAAAGATACGTAGAGGGAAAAGCACTTTTCAAAAAACTGACTCAAAAATGTCAGAACTTCCTTATGTTTGCTCCATTCTTCACTGCACAAACTGACCAATCAGATCCATTCTTCACAGTACAATTGACCAATCATATACATTTCTTGCCAAAATTTATTTTTATCAAAAGACGTACAAATGAGGAACATCTTTGAAACAACTTAAGTAATAGACGAATTATTTATTGAGTAATATTCGATCATACAGCTGTTATAGAATGTAACATTGTAGAGTTACGAGAAAATAAATCAATATCACTTTGTACGTACAGCCCAAGTTATGTTATTTACATCTTACCTGTACATACACTTTTTTTAGCTTTCAACGCATCAGAACATTCCGGAGATTATTGAGAAACCTAACGATAGAACATATACACAATTATTACGTCCTGACAATATATTTTGTAAACGAAAGCAAACCATATTCCAAAAGTAAAAATGTCTATAATGTGTTCATAAAGAGGCTGGGTGCACGGTTTCAAATCGTTGAAATGTTTTAAGGGAAACCTACCTTTGACAAGCCTGCAGCACAAATAAGATCAGAGCGGATGTACCGTGTATTTATATCTCATCGCGATTTGCGTCATTGAGTCGAATGCCAGTTCAAGGTTTATCAACTGAACAGTTTCACTTAAGAGACAACAAACACCGCCATGGTAACCGGTAGGTTTAAAGGTGATAACAAGAAAGCTGTCGGTTGTCTTTCCACTTGCTCGCTGTCTTATCGGAAAATCCACCATAATTTTTCAAGCCAAAACATGGACGACTTCCCGCCGATTCAAGAATCAAAGACCTGTTCCCAATATCACAATTTTCCTGTAAGATGTCGATTGATCAAAGACAAAATCGAGAAGGAATGTTTAAGAAAGTGATTGGTGCACAACTGCACATGTATGTTGGTTCTGCTTTCAACCAACCATCATCAAACGAAACCATCGGTATCATTTCTAAACAGCACAAGTTTTATAAACTAAGGCATATTATTTACTGATGTCGGCTCAAATATCCACGTGTTGCTTATCCATTCCGGACATCGTCGGAAAACATCCTAAATTCTATGTTCAGTCATTACGTATGTATTTGCTCTCGTGTAACTGTTTCCTGATGATAGACAAGGTTTTGTTCCTACTTAGTTTATGAAGATATTTTGTTTTCTTAGTAGACATGTAGACTGTTTCGTTTTCTCCATCATGTATGTGTTCTGAAAATTTTGCTGTACGATGAAACGTGAGAATGATTGACGAGAACAGAAATTTTGATAGAGAGAGAAAAACAACACAAAACAAAAATAAAGGAAAACACACACACAAACACACACACACACACACACACACACACACACACACACACACACACACACACACACACACACACACACACACACACACACACACACACACACACACACACACACACACACACACACACACACACACACACACACACACACACACACACACACACACATCCACACACAAAACAGACATTTTCGTTGAATGCCGCTTAAGTTATTTTTGTAAGTCATTCTTCGAGTAACTGTTGTGTGTAATAAAAACTTAAACATTTTTAAAGTAAATGGCAACAGTAGTAGTTTCGTATTTTCGCGGAACAATCGGAAATTTTCGGTCCGAGAGAAAAATCGAATTTTACATCTTTTTCCGAACAGTTGACTACGGGAATGTTAAGGGTAACATTCTCTTAACTTAAATCGTTAGTCCATCACTTTGAATCACTCGATCGGGGTTTTTTTTAATGAGTTTTCAACGCTTTTGTAGGGGATGTCCTCGCGGAAGACGAAACAATATGGCGGCAGCAGCCATAGCAACGAGCCAGAAATCGACGACAAAGGCCTTCCAGCTACAGTTTAGATAGCAAATCCTCAGGGAAAGGACTTAAAGCCATAGCAACTAGCAGCCAAAAAGGCAACCTAGGATACATTTCGCCTTCCAACAGCGACGCTGATGTCGCCGAGAACCAATGGAAATGCCATCTCTGCAACGAAATATTCTCCAGTGCTTATGCAGAAAATACTGGGATGCGAACGGTGCAGCTTGCACTTATGTTTGGTCAAATTTTCTAAGGAATATTCTTTCCTTCAAAATTCAGACTCTATGTGGTTTTGCACCAGCTGCAAACCGCAAGTTAGAATTAATATCAAAACGAATATTATTAAAAAGATCGAGGATATATGCAAAAAGCTAACAGAGGGATACGAGGAATAAATCACAATAATGGAGCAACAAACATCACAGAAATGTGACAAGGAAATGGTAAGTGATCTCAGTCAACAATGGAGTCCAATGTCAATCAAGGAAAGCCTAACGAACCGGAGAATGTCAAAGCAATCTTGAAGGAAACAAATGAACGGAAATCATGGGAAAGTAATGTTGTTATCTTTGGAGTAGGAGAAAAGATACAAAAGTACGAAACTAAAGAGTATCCCATGATACAAAAGCTGTGAACAGGATCCTGGCAAGATGTGAAGTCCAAGAGAAAGACAGCCTAAAATGCTTCCGACTAGGAAAATTCACCAAAGATGAAAATGGCAAGATAAAAAACAGGTCTATACTAGCATCACCAGAAATAAAAAGAACTCTATTTAATAATATCAAGAACCTTGGGAACAGCGGAGAATTCAAGAACTTTCGAATTACCAATGATCTGACTATGGCAGAAAGGGACGAAGAAAAGAGGCTTTGAAGCGAAGCCAAATCAAAGCAGGATAACAACACATCGGGGGAATACGTGTTCGAAGTTGAACGTCCACCTTGAGCGAGGAAAGTCTCAAAAGTACAAATCAGCAAATGAGCAATGAAAGTGACCATTTTGAGAACTCGTCAACCTCTTCTACAAATGCAAAACAGAAACATTATGATGAATTTGATTGTCTCAAGCAGAAAGGTCTTCATTTTCTGCACTTAAATGTCCTCTCTTTGCTACCAAAAATCCATGAACTTGAGCTATTAACAGATTTTCCCAAAGCAGGAGTAATATCTATCACCGAAGCTTGGTTAGATGATTCTGTCACCGATTCAGAGAAAGCTTTAGCTGGATAGTCCAGAGAGACAGGAATAGGTCAGGAGGTGGAGCACCTTTACTAGGGAGGACCCCTGTGGTTGCCACGACCACAATAGTGCTTTGGGTAAATCCTACAAGGATAATTAGAAATTGTTTAATCTCAAGTAGGTTATCTTGTCACCTACACGTGTCATTGACACTTCTAGCCGTCTTATAGACCACATACTATGTAAAACCAATACTAATCAGTCAGGCTTCAAGTAACAAAAAACAATGTTGCACGTTTTATATTAAATCTTAGCCCAAGGTAAAAAAATTACGCATGTTGAGCTGTTTAAGCTGACGTTCAGATTTATATAGGGTAGGTATTTGCCAATCCCCGCATTGTTCGTGTGGTGATGGTATTGTAGACGCAAGGCATTATTTCCTTACGTGTTCATTATTTTCTAATTGTAGACACATGTTGTTTGATTATTCGCGTGGTTTAGACGTATGGAAACTATCTTATGGGACGACATTGATGTTTACTCATATGATAACAATTTCAATATTGTTAAATCTGTTCAAAAAATTACAAAACAAACAAAGAGTTTTAACACTAATTAATTCTGAACTGTTTAGAGTCGGCACTGAATTGATATAAAATCTATACTATCTCTTTTTCTCTTCTTTTCTTTCCATCCTATCATCTCATCTTTTCCTCCTTTTGACAAAATGATTTAAACTTACAATTGTACGTCTACGAATTGCTTATCTTCATATTTATAGTAGAAATATGTCACGTGCAGTATATTATTTTTTTGTAATTTTATTTATGGAGAAGAGTTCATAAGTTGCTAGAACTTGTCTCTGGTCCATTTATTTACCACTGATGATAAACTATGTTTAAATCAACAAGATTTTTATTTGTCTATTAAAGTAGAAATCATCTTTCATGCGGTTTACCCTTCAAGTATTTCTAATTCGACGTTACAGATGCCTGCAGATGTCCTTTTCGTGTATATGGCTAAAGGGAATTAACTCGAATATACATTAGCCTATCCGATTAAGCCACGAACATCTAACAGAAAGGGAGATAACTTAAAATCTCGGTTTGTATATCTCTTTATAAAGAAATAACTTGTAAAGGTTTTTTTTCTCTCCAGAAGTGCATAACTAAGTGTTTTTAAAATGAACGACATTCAAAGCTGAAAATGTTCAAAATTAACACGTTAACTGCTGTGGTAAATTATCCAACCGAGTGCATAGTTATTGTAATACAAATTATCCAATATTGTGTGCCACTTTCATTCTGGAAAAAAAAAGAAGAAAACTATTTCTTTTTCAGCTACTGCGTACTTTTGAAAGACAGTACAACAGACACACCAGTGAATAACACCGATAACAGACAAATTTAGAGTTCGATACAGAAGAGACAACGATGAGTTATGTTAGACTATACAGCTGTTTCATCTTTCTAGGGCTTGTCAGTGATGCTTAGGGTCCAAACTTTGAAGGCTGGCAGATTGGCGACGGAAGAAAATCCTATTTGATCAAAACAAGGGTAAAGATATAGACAAGATGGTTCACTAGCCCCATGATTAAACATATTCCATTATATTTAAAAGTTGAATGATGAATCTTTTTGTTGTATTCGCATTGTCTATATAATAAAAGTGTTGATTTATAATCAATATACATGTATATCGACAGTATTCAAAGCGATTAATTTAGACCGGTGTATTTAAATTCTCGGTACTCGTCCGGGGTGTGCCCGTCGCTATTTTTATTGGCCTTGACTGTAATTATACTACGTTTGATTAATGACAGTTCCCAGAGAACTTTCGGTTTGCGTTGGCTTTGTATGATGGTATTTTTCTGTGGTTTTCTGCTGGTGCAATGAACGACTCCGCAGATCAGGTAAAGTCGTCACGTATCTTAAAGCCTTTTGTGCATTGCGTATTCTTGGAAACTCAAATTTCAGTCTTGGAACTCCAATTTTCTTCCTGGTAGGCACCGTTGTTGACACGACCTTACTTGAGTCTCGGGCATATAGACTTGTATTCATTGTCAGATTTGGTGTAGATCTACCTATGACACAGAATCTGGTAGGTATTTGGGATACCAAATCTCTCATACAAACAGATGGTCAACAAGTAAATAAATGAAGCGAGAAAGCCGTGTTGTTTTGACATAGTTTTGATAGATTGCTATAGAAAACAGATTTACACTTTCGGTTTCGTGGTTATGATCCATACATGTACAGGTAGATTGTCTAAACTGTATTTTTGATTGAATAAATTCCCATGCAGTTGATGCCTGCAGGACATTACCGCCTATATAGAAATTTCAACATCACTTAAAAATAACAAACCACACAATAGCCTTAAAAATAAAAGTAAGGTTATTTGTCTGGTTTGTTTTTTTTTCAAGTCCTATTTAAACTGAGTTTCTACTGATCTTAATCATCCCCACAGCTTCGGCCAGGTTTGCGGGTCGTGCGTGGCCCGGACTGGCGACATGAAGTGAACAGAATGCAGGATGGCGGAGAAGGATACACAGGAACAGTTGTCTATGTCCCCAAACATAACACGGCAGACAGGAAGGTGACCGTGGTCTGGGACTCAGGTCGGGAAGTGAGGTACCGTGCTGGTCAAGATGGAAAGAATGACCTCAGGATCTTTGACTCTGGCCCCTCAGGTAGTGTACCAGTTGTTATTCACTCAAAAACCATTTTAAAATTATGAACTTAATTTTTGTTACAGCCACTTACAAGTATGATGGTACAAAATTTTGCTCTATCCAGTAACAGCTACATGTATGATCCAGGTATGCTTTTTGTTATAGATATGATCCATGATTTAAAATATCTGCTACAGGTTTTATCCATGATGTATAATATTTGCTACAGCTAGTAATAGGTATTATCCATGTAGTATAATTTTTGCTACAGGTTTGGTCCATGATATATGATATTTGCTATAGATATGATCCATACAATTAATATTTGCTTTAGCCAGTAACAGGTATGATCCATGAGGAAATAATTTTTTCTGCAGGTGTCATCCATCCTGACATCATCTGTGATGGTCAAGGATGTTCCGAGTCACCGGTCAAGGGTTTACGATGGAAGTGTGCTGTCTGCACTGACTTTGACCTCTGCACTAAATGCTATATGAGTAAAAAACATGATCTCAGTCACAGATTTGTAAGGATTGATGTGGAGAATTCTCCTGCGTAAGTGTCAACATATTTAAGGTCAATCTTATCTAGAAAACCTTCATATGTAATTGTTATTATCTTAATGCATGTTCGGTCTTAGATTATGGTGATGAAAAAAACACTGCAAAGGGCCATAACTCTTACCGAAATTGTTGAATCAATATACAATCATTTAGGCTAACAGAGCTTACAGAGAGGCGACCTGCTGACAAATATTAGAATCAAGATAAATTGAAATGCAGTAACACATCCTTTTCTGGAATATCTTTATCACATTTCAAAAGACCTGTTTTGAAATGAGAACAAATGTTAGACAATCAACTCTTTCAGAACTTTTTAATGGTTGAGTAAGGGAAAAAAGTTCATGAATTTGATGGGACAGACGAAAGATGGATGGACAGAAGGTCGCGGTTGAGTCAGGGGAAAAAGTTAATGAATTTGATGGGGCAGACAGAAAGATTTGAGTCAGGGAAAAAGTTCATGAATTTGATGGGACAGACAGAAAGATGGATGGACAGAAGGATGACACCATAGCATATTACTTTAAATAAAAATGTTGAAAGGCGGATAATGTCACTGCTGTCACCAGTAGTAATGATTTTTTTAATATATAAAACTTTTGGATGTCACTTTCTGATATTTTGACATCTATGTTAAAACCCATCAGAATGTCATAATTTCACCAACCATACAGAGTAACAGAAGAGTGGATATATAGGAAATTTTCAAAGGAAACCTTATTTCAAAATATTACATAGATATTTGAGCAAAGTCTTTATATATGTATTACAGGGTGGTTGTACCTCCACGCTCAAAGAGTAAATGTATTGATGCTTGGGGTGTGTTCCCAGGCGCGATGGTTGTTCGAGGGCCCCACTGGAAATGGAGTAACCAGGATGGTAAGATTGCATATTTGGGCGTTCATGTTTGGAACAGAGGTACACAGGCTTGTCTTCTGTTTCACTATAAAATATTTCTTGTATAAATGACATGAAGATACTGTAAACATACATTTTTTTGGGATCAAATATTAATTTAGCACATTTTACGCCGAAAGTGTAGCGCTAAATTATGATTGCGTTTAGATATATCATTTGTACGCTTTCAGTAGAATCCTCTAATATCTCTGTACTTTACTGATTTGTTGTTTCAGTGTCAACCAAAAAAATTCCTTAAAAGTTTGTTTGACTTTATCATGGTGCTAAACAGTGTTGATTCATTGAATCAACAACTGTTCAATATTAGAATTAGGGTATTTATCTGTATCATTCCTGATAATTTGATGTTTTATTCTATAAGATGTAAAAACAACTACATGTTAAGCGATGCATCCTGTGGGGATTCACTGTTGAACTTGGTCTTTATATAGTAACGCAAACATAATCTATGACAGGGTCTGATGGTTGTGAAGGTAAGGTCAAGGACATTGTGACGTGGGAGTCTAGCCAATCAAAAGGATACAGAGGAGGGGTAAAGGTCTTATGGAAAAAAACTGATTATGAAGGCACATATCGTATTGGGGGCGATGGCTGTGTGGACGTCCTTTACAAATCAAAAAAACATCCAGGATCTGGGGGGTCCTACTATCCAGATCACCTCCCTGTTGTAGGTAAGTGGAATTCTGCTACCTATTTGTTTATGTCAAATCAAGTAAATGCTTTTTGTATTGAACAGATGTCATTTAACAAATCGTCTAGTACCTAAACACAAATATTATCTCTTTTCTTTATAACCTATCACATTTTACACTATGGGGCAGAAACATGTACGTACACCTACAGAAGACCACATCAGATATTCAGTGGCTACGTCTGTATCTTGTTCACAGATGTCGTCAGTCCAGGTGTGATTGCTTTGAGACCATCAGACAAAGTCAGAGTTGTGCTGGACACAGACGCCCTTAGGAAACTTCAGGAACATGAAATGTATGGAGGCTGGGATGATGACATGGTGCAGGTAGATTCTTTGTTATCTCAGTAGTAGACTTATCTTACAGAACGGCTGTGCCAATCGTTGTGAATTAACTATGAAATTGAACTGAAAGCTGTCACATGAATTTCCAGAGACGTGTCTTACACTATAAACATATAGTATGTGTTGTTACTAGCTGTTTTTATTCACCAATAAACATTGTTGTTGATACTGATATAATGTTCTCATTTATAAATTTGAATTGTTAACCTTGAAATCTACAGTGCACGAAAGAGTTGGGTACCATTGTTGAAATGATGTTTGAGGGCAAAATCGTCAGAGTGCAGTATGAAGATGGGAAGGTGTGGACATTACATAGGAGTGCCCTCACACGGGTAGGTGATTGAATGTCCTCACACGGGGAGGTGTGTGAGTGCCCTCACACGGGGAGGTGTTTGAGTATCCTCACACGGGGAGGTGTTTGAGTCCCACCAAACAGGTAGGTGGTACATGTAGATAGCCCTCACACACAGGTATAACAGCTCCTACTGTCCCACCACACTGGTAGGTGGTAGACTGCCCTCACACACAAGTAAAACAGCTCCTACTGTCCTACCACACAGGTAGGTGGTAGACTTCCCTCACACACAGGTATAACAGCTCCTACTGTCCCACCACACAGGGAGGTGGTAGACTGCCCTCACACACCGGTATAACAGCTCCTACTTTCCCACCACACAGGTAGGTGGTAGACTGCCCTCACACACAGGTATAACAGCTCCTACTGTCCCACCACACATGTAGGTGGTAGACTGCCCTCACACACAGGTATAACAGCTCCTACTGTCCCACCACACAGGTAGGTGGTAGACTTCCCTCACACACAGGTATAACAGCTCTTACTGTCCAACCACACTGGTAGGTGGTAGACTGCCCTCACACACAGGTATAACAGCTCCTAGGGTCCCACCACACAGGTAGGTGGTAGACTGCCCTCACACACAGGTATAACAGCTCCTAGGGTCCCACCACACTGGTAGGTGGTAGACTGCCCTCACACACAGGTTTAACAGCTCCTACTGTTCCACCACACAGGTAGGTGGTAGACTTCCCTCACACACAGGTATAACAGCTCCTACTGTCCCACCACACAGGTAGGTGGTAGACTGCCCTCACACACAGGTATAACAGCTCCTACTGTCCCACCACACTGGTAGGTGGTAGATTGCCCTCAAACATAGGTATAACAGCTCCTACTGTCCCACCACACTGGTAGGTGGTAGAATGCCCGAGCATACAGTCATGTAAAACTGGTCCTTTGGTCTTTGACACTACTAAAATACAGGTGTTAGAGTGTCCTCAGACAGGTAAACATTAGATGTAAGATCCTTTGTCAGTTATGTTAGGAACAGGAATATAGGCTTAGAGGCTAAACTATATAGGTAAACCTAAATAAAGTTGTGCTAGTGTACAAACATAGGTTTAGGGATGCAGTGGCTGTTAACCTGATTAAATCATGGCCTTTCAGTTAATTTGTAGTGATTAAATACAGTTGGTCGATACACGTTAACAGTTGTCAGATTGTGACAATCCACCGGACAAGTTTTGTTAATGGTTATGAATTTTTCCTTTCATCTTAACAAGAGACACACATTCACCAAGAATGAAGCTGTGAAGATTCTCAGTGACTCCAATACTGTGATGGGCCTACAGGATGGTCATGGTGGCTGGAATGATGAAATGAGTGAGGTAAGTGATTCATATAGGTGTATAGATTCTTGTATAATCTGATGGTTATATAATCAAGCATGTGAGCATTATTGAATGTTTTGTAGAATAGAATTTTAAATACCACAACCAGTAGAAGATTTAAATGTGATGTTTCGATGACTACACCACACCTTCATCTTATAACACAACCAGTAGAAGATTTAAGTGTGATGTTTCGATGACTACACCACACCTTCATCTTATAACACAACCAGTAGAAGATTAGAGTGTGACGTTTTGATGACTACACCGTCACCTTCATCTTATAACACAACCAGTAGAAGATTTAAGTGTGATGTTTCGATGACTACACCGTCACCTTCATCTTATAACACAACCAGTTGAAGATTTAAATGTGATGTTTCGATGACTACACCACACCTGCATCTTATAACACAACCAGTTGAAGATTTAAATGTGATGTTTCGATGACTACACCACACATTCATTCTTATAACACAACCAGTAGAAGATTTAAGTGTGATGTTTCGATGACTACACCACACCTTCATCTTATAACACAACCAGTAGAAGATTTAATTGTGATGTTTCGATGACTACACCGTCACCTTCATCTTATAACACAACCAGTAGAAGATTTAAGTGTGATGTTTCGATGACTACACCACACCTTCATCTTATAACACAACCAGTAGAAGATTAGAGTGTGACGTTTCGATGACTACACCGTCACCTTCATCTTATAACACAACCAGTAGAAGATTTAAGTGTGATGTTTCGATGACTACACCACACCTTCATCTTATAACACAACCAGTAGAAGATTAGAGTGTGACGTTTTGATGACTACACCGTCACCTTCATCTTATAACACAACCAGTTGAAGATTTAAATGTGATGTTTCGATGACTACACCACACCTTCATCTTATTACACAACCAGTTGAAGATTTAAATGTGATGTTTCGATGACTACACCGTCACCTTCATCTTATAACACAACCAGTAGAAGATTAGAGTGTGACGTTTCGATGACTACACCGTCACCTTCAAATGTGATGTTTCGATGACTACACGGTCACCTTCATCTTATAACACAACCAGTAGAAGATTTAAATGTGATGTTTCGATGACTACACCGTCACCTTCATCTTATAACACAACCAGTAGAAGATTAGAGTGTGACGTTTCGATGACTACACCGTCACCTTCATCTTATAACATAACCAGTAGAAGATTAGAGTGTGACGTTTCGATGACTACACCGTCACCTTCAAATGTGATGTTTCGATGACTACACGGTCACCTTCATCTTATAACACAACCAGTAGAAGATTAGAGTGTGATGTTTCGATGACTACATCGTCACCTTCATCTTATAACACAACCAGTAGAAGATTAGAGTGTGACGTTTCGATGACTACACCGTCACCTTCAAATGTGATGTTTCGATGACTACACCGTCACCTTCATCTTATAACACAACCAGTAGAAGATTAGAGTGTGACGTTTCGATGACTACACCGTCACCTTCAAATGTGATGTTTCGCCTTCATCTTATAACACAACCAGTAGAAGATTAGAGTGTGATGTTTCGATGACTACATCGTCACCTTCATCTTATAACACAACCAGTAGAAGATTTAAGTGTGATGTTTCGATGACTACACCACACCTTCATCTTATAACACAACCAGTAGAAGATTTAAATGTGATGTTTCGATGACTACACCGTCACCTTCATCTTATAACACAACCAGTAGAAGATTTAAGTGTGATGTTTCGATGACTACACCACACCTTCATCTTATAACACAACCAGTAGAAGATTTAAATGTGATGTTTCGATGACTACACCGTCACCTTCATCTTATAACACAACCAGTAGAAGATTTAAGTGTGATGTTTCGATGACTACACCACACCTTCATCTTATAACACAACCAGTAGAAGATTAGAGTGTGACGTTTTGATGACTACACCGTCACCTTCATCTTATAACACAACCAGTTGAAGATTTAAATGTGATGTTTCGATGACTACACCACACCTTCATCTTATAACACAACCAGTTGAAGATTTAAATGTGATGTTTCGATGACTACACCACACCTTCATCTTATAACACAACCAGTAGAAGATTAGAGTGTGACGTTTCGATGACTACACCGTCACCTTCAAATGTGATGTTTCGATGACTACACGGTCACCTTCATCTTATAACACAACCAGTAGAAGATTAGAGTGTGACGTTTCGATGACTACATCGTCACCTTCATCTTATAACACAACCAGTAGAAGATTTAAATGTGATGTTTCAATGACTATATGTTGATAGTACAAATATAAGATTGGTATAGTTGAGATGTTTGTTTGGCCTTTCAGACACTTGGCCAAATGGGTCGTATCGTGAAAATTGACAATGACGGTGACATGAGGATTAAAATCAAAGAAAAGATGTGGTTGTTCAGTCCTGTCTGTGTTAGTCCAGTAGAAGATGTGTCTGTTGCTAAAAATGTGCCAGCAAATGAAGATATGGATTATGATAGTGATAGTAGTGATGACGAGCCCAGTGAAAGCATGAATGGTGAGTGTTGTAGAGAGCACTGTACAATATACTGTTATACTGTTTAGTTTGATTTACCTGGGTACCCCTTAAATACAATACATGTTTATTGAAATACATGGGTAGCCCCTTAAATACAATATATGTTTATTGAAATACTTGGGTACTCCCTTAAATACAATACATGTTTATTGAAATACATGGGTAGCCCCTTAAATACAATACATGTTTATTGAAATACCTGGGTACTCCCTTAAATACAATACATGTTTATTGAAATACCTTGGTACTCCCTTAAATACAATACATGTTTATTGAAATACATGGGTAGCCCCTTAAATACAATACATGTTTATTGAAATACCTGGGTACTCCCTTAAATACAATACATGTTTATTGAAATACATGGGTAGCCCCTTAAATACAATACATGTTTATTGAAATACCTGGGTACTCCCTTAAATACCATACATGTTTATTGAAATACATGGGTAGCCCCTTAAATACAATACATGTTTATTGAAATACCTGGGTACTCCCTTAAATACAATACATGTTTATTGAAATACATGGGTAGCCCCTTAAATACAATACATGTTTATTGAAATACCTGGGTACTCCCTTAAATACCATACATGTTTATTGAAATACATGGGTAGCCCCTTAAATACAATACATGTTTATTGAAATACCTGGGTACTCCCTTAAATACAATACATGTTTATTGAAATACATGGGTAGCCCCTTAAATACAATACATGTTTATTGAAATACCTGGGTACTCCCTTAAATACCATACATGTTTATTGAAATACATGGGTAGCCCCTTAAATACAATACATGTTTATTGAAATACCTGGGTACTCCCTTAAATACAATACATGTTTATTGAAATACATGGGTAGCCCCTTAAATACAATACATGTTTATTGAAATACCTGGGTACTCCCTTAAATACCATACATGTTTATTGAAATACATGGGTAGCCCCTTAAATACAATACATGTTTATTGAAATACCTGGGTACTCCCTTAAATACCATACATGTTTATTGAAATACCTGGGTACTCCCTTAAATACAATACATGTTTATCAGATTTGTGTGGTAAAAAGAAGGAATTCAGCTGTGACACCACAAGTATAGTTATATTGAACCTATCCTTGTGTCATTACTGAGATCTAAAATAATGTGATTGGTTGACAAAAAATTTTGACCCCCCCTACAACCGCAACAAAAAAAGTTATGAATTTTTTCAGCCTTGTCCCATTCTTTTTTTATCATTTTATCTGATCATAATTTTCTTTCAAAGATCATATTTTGTGTTGATTTGACACCAAGACGCACAGAAAAAAAGAAATGTCCATTAATCTGCCGAAAACTTAAATTATTTGGACCAATATTTTATGGCCAATCTTCCTGTTGTCAGGATCAATAATTATTTGTGTTTAAAAAGAATGAATGAATTGATAAAAGTTGCCATTAGATAACCTAGTATCTTATAATTAATCTAAAAGAAATTTCCTTTTAGTCTAATTGATTTTAAGGAGATAATATGTAGGCTGCATGCTTTTATATCAAGGGAGAGTTATGTCACACTTTTTAAGTCCCCTGACCATTGGTCAAAGTGACCCATTGCAACCGTTCTTGTTCATTGTTGTACATTAACTTTTTCTTGTGAACATAATGACTTGAAGAAAAATTAACAAACTTTGTGCAGACATTGTATCCAGCCTTATATCAGTAAGATCTCAGATGAGTTGAATAATGGGACTGATCCAATGGTAGTGATTAAATGGTAATTTAAAGAGTTATTGCCCTTTGTAGTTTAATTATCATTGGACATTGTAAACACATTTGAGTAAATATGAACGTCAATGAAATTTGCATGTAGCCTTGTATCATTGAAATCTGAGATGAGTTTTACAATGGATTCAGTTATGGCCCTCTGCAATTTAAGCACGGTTGAGATTAGTCAGGGGACTTTTTAAACTCAGAGGCCTCTTGTTTTGCATAGCCAGATAATTATTGCAACAATACAAATGTCACACCCTTTTAGAATAACTACCTAGATTTGTCGTCGGCTGGGAGGAATTTAAAGATTAAGTTTCCTTGTAGATGTTGCTAACGCTATTGCCCGGGTATTTGTGGAGATGTTGAGAGCCCAGTCAGACTCACACTCAGACACGACATCCTCCATCAATATTGTACAGGCAGCAGCACAAGGAGAATTGTCAGACGTCCAGACAGTGTTAAAAAAGGATCGCTCACAGGTAATGACTCAAGTTTATGGTTAGACTTAAAAAGAAAGCCTGCAGGACGATTCCCTGATAATAGTTGTTATCTTTAGAAATAAAAGAAGTAGGGAAGATGTTTAAATCCTAGGAGTTTCAGGCAGACACCACAGATATGAAATAGTTATGAAGCAGACTAGTTGGTGTTGTATATGATTTATCCTAGGTTGATGTATGTTGCAGGTGGACCGGACTGTGGAGGATAAGACCGCCCTACAACTTGCCAGTTATGAAGGTCATGTCAAAATTGTACAATTATTACTGGAATACAAAGCTAACAAAAATAAGGTGGACAAGGAGGGGGACACTGCGCTACACTACGCTGCTTTTGGGTAAGACCAAAACATTCATGAAAAGACTAAATGGCTACAAGTATACATGAATATGCTAGATTTGAGGTCATGGTGTTTGCATTCTACTTACAAAATATTATACTTCGTTCTCGTGGCCATGAAAGATCTATACCTGTCGTTACTGTTGTTGTGTATCAACACTTGGCCGTAAGTTAGTGACCATCAATCTCAGTGTGAAAATTTTAATGAAAACTTGATTTTTGTAAAAAATGAATCTTGTATTACTTGTTTGTGTTCCCTTTTCTATTGTAATAACCACCAAACAATACACCTAACCTGGAGTAAAAGGAGGTACCCATACGCTGACAAACACAAGTTTGCTTTGCAACATTAAGCAGTGTTTTCACATGTAAAACTGCTAAACAATACATGCACTTATACAGTAACTGATTTTTAAAATGGTACATTGACAAAATTGACAATTGCTGAAAGATGGCAAGCTTCTTGAATGGTTTAAGGTTGTATGATATACAGGCAAGCAGCTGCACATTTCAGTGTCAGCCATTATGATATTTCTTGAATACTCTGTGTCTGACCCACACCAGGCAAGCTGTCAAGCATCCCAGGTCTGGCAAACCTTGAAAGACGACAGATACAGAAGAAAGACTTCTGTGTAGACAGGCAAGACCAGCCCAATTTACTACTGCCATCATGCAGGTTTGGAAGACAGTAGAATGACAATATTTGCACTTGAACAATGAAATCATTGCTTTCGTGGACGAGTAAAGCATCTTCTGGCAAAAACAGGCAGAAGAGCATTAAGTATGTGATAAATGGACATGGAATATTAGGTGTTGGCAAAGAGTCTACTATTCTGCTGAGAGCTGCTTTGTCTGACTGATGGTCTGTGTTTGGAGACCAGATATATATCATACAATTAGAATCACATTCTGGACACAACATGATTGTGATGACGTGTTGGAGCTGTTACTGATCAGAAACACTTTTCTTTAACTGTAAGCTTTGCATGCATGTCCTTGATGGAACTTTAATGGGCCAAAGTATCTAAATCAGATCCTTCGACCTCTAGTTGTTCCACATATTTCAATGCCCATCCATATACAGATCAGCCTATCCTAATGCATGGCAAAGGCACGCCACAGAGCCCGTCTAATGAAAGACTTTGTTCTACAAAAGGTGATAGAGACGTTACCATAGCCTGCAATGTCACCAGCCATAAACCAAATTAAACATGAGTGGGACTCTCTCAGACAAAGCATTAATACAAATGATCTAAAATGCCACACCATTGGAGAATCCTGAGCTGCATTGATTCAGGAGTGACAGAGATTTCTATAGAACCAGTTTCGGTGTCAGGTCCATGGTATGAGATGATAGACACAAGTAATATACCAGAAGTGTTGTGGCTTGACCCGATATTGACATTTCATACACATTAGAACTTGTTAACTAGTAATTCTCTGTATCAAGTGACATGTTTTGGTGATGTGATGGTGCATCTGTTGATAAGAGACAGTTAAAACACAACTTTTTTTTAGACTTTGAGAATGCGTTATTGAGCATGTCTTTTTGACATATGATACAGGACTTCAGGTCTGTAAATTTTCCTTGGTGTGTGGTTTTGTTAGATGCTTTAAAAGCATTCCTGTATATCCTGTGGAGTTTTCATTTAATAATTTTCTTGAATAAAGTGAACAAAATTAAGTCCAATTAAAGATATGGACGGTTTCTAACATTTGGCCATGTCTATATGTCGAACCTTGTGTTGGTCTTAAAAACACCTTCACCCCTCTACACTAGCCAGTAACATTCATGTTTTAAAGCTTATATAGATATATACATAACCTTTATTCTCTCTTTCTTTCTGTTAGAATTTAGTCATAAATATTTGAATTTATATCTAAAACATCAAGATTTATTAAAAATCTTAAATATCTTTGGAATTAATATTCATAAGTACAGGTAGTGAAGATGTGATATTCATTAAAGATTATTGTGTTGAAAAGAAATTGTATTTGGGAAAAATTCCTTATTTCCTCTTTTTCCTTGTTAACACAGAAAAGAGAAATCAACCATGGAAGTATTGCTCAAAGCTGGTGTCAGTATCAACATAAAAAACAACAAAGGTCAGACAGCCCTCCATGTGGCTATTAGTAAAGGAAACTCCGACTGTACAGAGTTACTGGTCAGCCAGGGGGCTGATGTCAATATCAAGGTAGGGCTTGTGTACTGTCCTGAGTGTACAGAGTTACTGGTCACTCAGGGGGCTGATGTCGATATCAAGGTAGGGCTTGTGTACTGTCCTGAGTGTACAGAGTTACTGGTCACTCAGGGGGCTGATGTCGATATCAAGGTAGGGCTTGTGTACTGTCCTGAGTGTACAGGGTTACTCGTCACTCATGGGGCTAATGCCAATATCAAGGTAGGGCTTGTGTATTGTCCTGAGTGTACAGGGTTACTGGTCACTCATGGGGCTAATGCCAATATCAAGGTAGGGCTTGTGTATTGTCCTGAGTGTACAGAGTTACTGGTCAGCCAGGGGGCTGATGTCAATATCAAGGTAGGGCTTGTGTACTGTCCTTAGTGTACAGAGTTACTGGTCAGCCAGGGGGGGCTGATGCCAATATCAAGGTAGGGCTTGTGTATTGTCCTGAGTGTACAGAGTTACTGGTCACTCAGGGGGCTGATGTCAATATCAAGGTAGGGCTTGTGTACTGTCCTTAGTGTACAGAGTTACTGGTCAGCCAGGGGGCTGATGTCAGTATCAAAGTAGGGCTTGTGTACTGTCCTGAGTGTACAGAGTTACTGGTCACTCAGGGGGGGCTGATGTCAATATCAAGGTAGGGCTTGCGTACTGTCCTGAGTGTACAGAGTTACTGGTCACTCAGGGGGCTGATGTCGATATCAAGGTAGGGCTTGTGTACTGTCCTGAGTGTACAGGGTTACTGGTCACTCATGGGGCTAATGCCAATATCAAGGTAGGGCTTGTGTATTGTCCTGAGTGTACAAGGTTACTCGTCACTCATGGGGCTAATGCCAATATCAAGGTAGGGCTTGTGTATTGTCCTGAGTGTACAGGGTTACTGGTCACTCATGGGGCTAATGCCAATATCAAGGTAGGGCTTGTGTATTGTCCTGAGTGTGCAGAGTTACTGGTCACTCAGGGGGCTGATGTCGATATCAAGGTAGGGCTTGTGTACTGTCCTGAGTGTACAGAGTTACTGGTCAGCCAGGGGGCTGATGTCAATATCAAAGTAGGGCTTGTGTACTGTCCTGAGTGTACAGAGTTACTGGTCAGCCAGGGGGGCTGATGCCAATATCAAGGTAGGGCTTGTGTATTGTCCTGAGTGTACAGAGGTACTGGTCACTCAGGGGGCTGATGTCAATATCAAGGTAGGGCTTGTGTACTGTCCTTAGTGTACAGAGTTACTGGTCAGCCAGGGGGCTGATGTCAATATTAAGGTAGGGCTTGTGTATTGTCCTTAGTGTACAGAGTTACTGGTCAGCCAGGGGGCTGATGTCAATATCAAGGTAGGGCTTGTGTACTGTCCTTAGTGTACAGAGTTACTGGTCAGCCAGGGGGCTGATGTCAATATCAAGGTAGGGCTTGTGTATTGTCCTGAGTGTACAGAGTTACTGGTCAGCCAGGGGGCTGATGTCAATATCAAGGTAGGGCTTGTGTACTGTCCTGAGTGTACAGAGTTACTGGTCACTCAGGGGGGCTGATGTCAATATCAAGGTAGGGCTTGTGTACTGTCCTGAGTGTACAGAGTTACTGGTCACTCAGGGGGGCTGATGTCGATATCAAGGTAGGGCTTGTGTACTGTCCTGAGTGTACAGAGTTACTGGTCACTCAGGGGGCTGATGTCAATATCAAGGTAGGGCTTGTGTACTGTCCTGAGTGTACAGGGTTACTCGTCACTCATGGGGCTAATGCCAATATCAAGGTAGGGCTTGTGTATTGTCCTGAGTGTACAGGGTTACTCGTCACTCATGGGGCTGATGCCAATATCAAGGTAGGGCTTGTGTATTGTCCTGAGTGTACAGAGTTACTGGTCAGCCAGGGGGCTGATGTCAATATCAAGGTAGGGCTTGTGTACTGTCCTGAGTGTACAGAGTTATTGGTCACTCAGGGGGGCTGATGTCAATATCAAGGTAGGGCTTGTGTACTGTCCTGAGTGTACAGAGTTACTGGTCACTCAGGGGGCTGATGTCGATATCAAGGTAGGGCTTGTGTACTGTCCTGAGTGTACAGGGTTACTGGTCACTCATGGGGCTAATGCCAATATCAAGGTAGGGCTTGTGTATTGTCCTGAGTGTACAGGGTTACTGGTCACTCATGGGGCTAATGCCAATATCAAGGTAGGGCTTGTGTATTGTCCTGAGTGTACAGGGTTACTGGTCACTCATGGGGCTAATGCCAATATCAAGGTAGGGCTTGTGTATTGTCCTGAGTGTACAGAGTTACTGGTCACTCAGGGGGCTGATGTCGATATCAAGGTAGGGCTTGTGTACTGTCCTGAGTGTACAGAGTTACTGGTCAGCCAGGGGGCTGATGTCAATATCAAAGTAGGGCTTGTGTACTGTCCTGAGTGTACAGAGTTACTGGTCAGCCAGGGGGGCTGATGCCAATATCAAGGTAGGGCTTGTGTATTGTCCTGAGTGTACAGAGTTACTGGTCACTCAGGGGGCTGATGTCAATATCAAGGTAGGGCTTGTGTACTGTCCTTAGTGTACAGAGTTACTGGTCAGCCAGGGGGCTGATGTCAATATCAAGGTAGGGCTTGTGTATTGTCCTTAGTGTACAGAGTTACTGGTCAGCCAGGGGGCTGATGTCAATATCAAGGTAGGGCTTGTGTACTGTCCTTAGTGTACAGAGTTACTGGTCAGCCAGGGGGCTGATGTCAATATCAAGGTAGGGCTTGTGTATTGTCCTGAGTGTACAGAGTTACTGGTCAGCCAGGGGGCTGATGTCAATATCAAGGTAGGGCTTGTGTACTGTCCTGAGTGTACAGAGTTACTGGTCACTCAGGGGGGCTGATGTCAATATCAAGGTAGGGCTTGTGTACTGTCCTGAGTGTACAGAGTTACTGGTCACTCAGGGGGGCTGATGTCAATATCAAGGTAGGGCTTGTGTACTGTCCTGAGTGTACAGAGTTACTGGTCACTCAGGGGGGCTGATGTCAATATCAAGGTAGGGCTTGTGTATTGTCCTGAGTGTACAGAGTTACTGGTCACTCAGGGGGCTGATGTCGATATCAAGGTAGGGCTTGTGTACTGTCCTGAGTGTACAGGGTTACTGGTCACTCATGGGGCTAATGCCAATATCAAGGTAGGGCTTGTGTATTGTCCTGAGTGTACAGGGTTACTGGTCACTCATGGGGCTAATGCCAATATCAAGGTAGGGCTTGTGTATTGTCCTGAGTGTACAGGGTTACTGGTCACTCATGGGGCTAATGCCAATATCAAGGTAGGGCTTGTGTATTGTCCTGAGTGTACAGAGTTACTGGTCACTCAGGGGGCTGATGTCGATATCAAGGTAGGGCTTGTGTACTGTCCTGAGTGTACAGAGTTACTGGTCAGCCAGGGGGCTGATGTCAGTATCAAAGTAGGGCTTGTGTACTGTCCTGAGTGTACAGAGTTACTGGTCAGCCAGGGGGGCTGATGCCAATATCAAGGTAGGGCTTGTGTATTGTCCTGAGTGTACAGAGTTACTGGTCACTCAGGGGGCTGATGTCAATATCAAGGTAGGGCTTGTGTACTGTCCTTAGTGTACAGAGTTACTGGTCAGCCAGGGGGCTGATGTCAATATCAAGGTAGGGCTTGTGTATTGTCCTTAGTGTACAGAGTTACTGGTCAGCCAGGGGGCTGATGTCAATATCAAGGTAGGGCTTGTGTACTGTCCTGAGTGTACAGAGTTACTGGTCACTCAGACAGCTGATGTCAATATCAAGGTAGGGCTTGTGTACTGTCCTGAGTGTACAGAGTTACTGGTCACTCAGGGGGCTGATAACAATATCAAGGTAGGGCTTGTGTACTGTCCTGAGTGTACAGAGTTACTGGTCACTCAGACAGCTGATGTCAATATCAAGGTAGGGCTTGTGTACTGTCCTGAGTGTACAGGGTTACTGGTCACTCAGGGGGCTGATAACAATATCAAGGTAGGGCTTGTGTACTGTCCTGAGTGTACAGAGTTACTGGTCACTCAGACAGCTGATGTCAATATCAAGGTAGGGCTTGTGTACTGTCCTGAGTGTACAGAGTTACTGGTCACTCAGACAGCTGATGTCAATATCAAGGTAGGGCTTGTGTACTGTCCTGAGTGTACAAAGATGGTGATTTTAGACAGCTGTTGTTCATTATAATCTTTTATCTTTGGTAGGATGAAGATGGTGACACTGCCATGCATGACTGCCTGGCTCAGAAGTTAGGACAACCTGCTATATTTCAGGCAGTGTTAAAGGCCAAAAAGGCTGATTTCAACATGGAGAATAGCAAAGGTCTTAATGTGTTACAATGGGCTGTTCTGAAGGACAACAAGGCGTAAGTCTTCTTATAACTATCCTTTCACCACAAGTGGAACATTCGTCTCTGATAATGAACTTATACCATACAGCTAGTAATTTTTTACACAATTTTCAGTCAAAATATAGAAAGCAAATGGAAATTTCTCAATCTGAATGTAAATGAGCATCTGATGAACATCTGTCTCATTATTTCAAGGATGAAATTTTCACATTGTTATACCATACATTGGTGAAAATATCATCCCTACAAAAATAACCACATATATATGGTATCAGTGCAGTAACATGTAAATTGTGTCTTCTGTCTCATTTTTGGAGTTATTGCCCTTCCCTGACTGTAAAAAAATTGATTTCTGCACCATGACCTTAGAATGGCTCACTTGACTTCATTAAAAGTTTGCATGTAAGTTGAAATATTGAAAATATTGGTAACAAAAAAAAAATTTCAATCAAGTTTTGTTTTGCACTAATTTCAAGATAATTCACTACAGGTTGAATTTATTTTGGTAGAGTTATGCCCCTTTTACTTTAAAAATTTCAAGTGATTCATAGTTTCCACTCATTATCTTAATCAGATATTTTGAATTGAAATTAGGTGTATTATGGAAAAACCCAGATCATGTTCTTTGTTGGGTGGGTTTACATGATATTTAATAGAGTTATGCCCCTTAGACATTTTCAATTTTGTTCCTGTGGGGATAGTCATGTCATACTGTCATATCTTGTTTCTTGTAAATTTCAGTGCTGTCCAATTAATTCTTGAAAAAAACAGAAATGTAGTGAATTCAAAAACAAAGGAAGGCTATTCCCCATTACACATCGCTGCAATCAACAACTATGTTGATTTGATGAATACCCTCATCAATATGGTAAGTCATGGAGGCAGGATAAACATATCAGTCAACACTATGGTAAATATCAAATTTCTTATAGCTGCCGTTAAAATTAGGAAATTTTAGTAAGGAACATAATGATGTTGTAATTATTATATATAATTGACTGATTTTTTGTTAGGAAAAGTCCTTCTACATGTACTACATTTCTAGTTGATTCTAGTTTGGTTCAGCTGGCAATATTACGCAAGAAATAAACAGTTTTAATATCATTTAATGACTATGACAAATCAATCACATGATTTCTCTTTGATTGATCACGGTTTTATCTATTTAAAAGAAAGTTTATAGAAAACTTTTCAAGATGTATCAACGCTTACAGCAGACCTACAATTTGAACAATTTAACAATCGAATGACTTTTTCATTAACAAAATGAATTCAAAATAATGTTTAAAAATAAAGTTTGAATATCTGCAAGAATCTCACATATTCACTGTATTATATACATTATTCCAATTTATAAATTTTATTTTTTTGAATGTTTTTAGTAGAAAATAATTATTATTTTGTTTGTTTACAGATAAACGTATATCATTAAGTGTTTATGAGAGATATGATGAATGCTTATTGTGAATTATGGAGCTACAGGTTTTTTCCCCCAACAAAACATGGTACATGTACATTGTATACAGACACTTGAAATATATTACATTTCTTACAGTACTTTATGGTTTTTCGCAATATATAGTGTCAGTATTCCTTTGTTTTTTACACTACAGGGTCAGGCAGATGTGAATGTAAAGGACAAAGAAAATAGAACTCCACTTCATTTGGTGGTGATTCGCTGTCATAAAAATGCCACAGAGATTCTTGTGAATGAAACAAGTATGTAATGTTTGTATTTAAGTTATAAAGATATCATTATACAGCATTTATCCAGCAATAAGCCCAGTAGTGTAGGTTCCCATTGGTTCCAGGTTGTTCCTGTTTACTTTTGGGACTGATCAGAAAAAACAAAATGGCTTCCAGGCAACCATCTTCGATTTCACAATTAAAGAATATTATAGTCATTTCTGCAAAGGAATATTCAAATTTCTTATCGCTATAAAGAGTAAAAAACAACAAAGAGAAGAGAAAAGAAGGGAAAAGATCCAACTTTCATAGAGCCTATATAGATTAAACAATGGTGGGTGCCAAGATCCCTCTGGGATCTCTTGTTTGTGATGTTTGTTCGAGAGTGAAATTATCTTCAAGAACTAAACACTAGATCTTGCTGTCTGTAAACAAAAACCAAAAAAATCGTTGAAATGAAACAAAATTAAAAGAAAATCCACAACAAAGGATTGTATATCAAGTTCTTAGGCCTGTCAGACACACAATGACATGCATCTACCTTTATCAAGTTCTTAGGCCTGTCAGACACACAATGACATGCATCTACCATTGTTATCAGGACACATTTCAATCAAGGAGTTTTGGGGTGGAATTTCTTGTATTTTAATCACTTGCTTTGACTGTTTGTTAGAAAATGTTATGATTAGTACCAGTATTTTTTATATTCTATAATTAATGGAACTTTTTTATTACAGAATGTGATGTAAATGCTCAAGATAAATATAACAACACAGCCCTCCATCTGGCGTTAGGCAATTACTCACTGCCACAGACGGTCAGTATAGCTTAAACAATAAAGATGAAATATATACACGTATTATATACTTAACTGGACACTTTGCTTCACTGTGTTAAGAAAATACAAAGATTGTTTTCAAAGATTTTGTCAGATTTCTGACAGCATTCACCAGTGGTTTCATCCAGTGATCTTTACAAGTAACTGGACTGTTTATGGCTCTAAGGGGACATCACGATAAATACATTAATATTTCTTATTGATTGTAGGTGTTTTATACCACTTCCAATTACTTCTCTTTGCTGTCCCAGTCAAGGGTACTGTTATAATAAAGGTCATCTGTATCAGGTATAGGTCAAGGTTACTGTTATAATAAAGGTCATCTGTATCAGGTAAAGGTCATCTGTATCAGGTTAATGTCATCTGCATCAGGTATAGGTCAAGGTTACTGTTATAATAAAGGTCATCTGTATCAGGTATAGGTCAAGGTTACTGTTATAATAAAGGTCATCTGTATCAGGTATAGGTCATGAACAATTTATATATAGGCCTGAAAATGTTTGCGGAATACATTTGTCCTGTTGATTTTAATCTTTTCACATATATATATATATATATATATATATATACCATATACTGTAAGTTGCAAATCACTGTCATTGACCAATCAAATCTGGTATTACAAATATGTAAGGAATTATTGTCATAAAATACCTTGTCTGTACACCTGTGGTGTTTAGGTAGTACAACAGTTAGGACTTGCCAAAAAGACAAGTAGTGAAGACCTGAGTGAAATCATCTGCCTCCTCCTCGAGCATAAAGCCAACATCACCCTGAAAAACTTGGATAAAAAGACTCCCCTCGACCTGACCAGTGACCCCATGACACGCAAATTCATGGAGAGGTTGGTTTCTGGTGAAATGTGTGTAACTGGTTATAGTTTATCAGTGAAAAGTCCAACAAATAACCATATATGTCAAAAAAGACAAAAATATTAGATTCTTAGTAATAACTAATGAAATGCTGACATTTGAAGTAAAATTGTATTTTTGTGCTGTTTTTTTTTTATATTCAAAATGAAAACTATTTCTTTCTGATTTGTTCCACTCTGAATTAAAGATAAAAAGTTTGGATTTACATACAATGTTAAGGGAGTATTTGTCATTTGCATATAAAGTCTGACTGATGTAAAGTTTTACTACGTAATGTCTATTAATTATCTCACATAGTCAACTCACTGGTATGGGTGGTCTCCCTTGATCAGTAATTTTGTTACTGTTTATAATGCCTGCAATACACTGTTTCAAAGGTTCCAAGACACAAGATCGGCTTCTAAATCCCAGTCCCAGAAAAGAATGCATTACCCAGGTTACTGGACATCAATGACACATCAACAGCAGATCATCCGTGTTGCTTTGAAGAGTGGTGAAGGTGGTATGAACGCAAAGGAGTACGGAAATATTGTAAAAAAATTTGCTCGTTCATTACCACAAGCTCGTGTACTGAAAATAGAGAGAGTACAGAACAAGTTCCTTTGGGAGGTCTACTACATGTAAGTATGCTGTTCAGTCCTCTCATTTAGCAAATAGGTTTTCTGTGTGTCCATCTGTCTGTGTGAGTCTGTCTATTTTTTCATGGCCGGAACCCTTCAACAGATTATTTAATATTCATGAACTATCCTTATTTAATATTCATGAACTATCCTTATTTAATATTCATGAACTATCCTTATTTAATATTCATGAACTATCCTTATTTAATATTCATGAACTATCCTTATTTAATATTCATGAATATCCTTATTTAATATTCATGAACTATTCTGTGATGACATGGTTTTGTCCTTGGACAAGACACTTTACTCCAATTGCTCATGTTGGCATGCATCAGGTCTCTCCTATGACATTCAGTGTAGCTTTTAACTATGCATGGAGACCTCATCTCAGCATGACAAAGTTTTTGCTTTGTTTACAAGCCTATAAACCAAGAAAACGAACATTTTTTTTTCATTATTTCAAGATCGTCCACTTTTTCCAGTAATAGCCCTTTGGATAATGATACGAAAAAATTGGACATTGAAACAGTTATATCTTCAATGTCTTGTGTCACTACAAACAGTATTTGTACATATAAGTTTAACTTTTGTAAACAAGAGGTCCAATGGGCCTGCATTGCTGTCCTGGTTTTCAATGTTTTTTACAACAGTGGGTCTATATGACATCTGTCAATCCTACAAACTAGCATGCTTGCACTGCAAGGTAAAAGTTATTTGTCTGCAATGATGGATCCTGTTGTGAATCGCTTCAGTGGATACAATTTATGGTTAGTTGAAGCTTTTAATTGGTTAAACAAAAATGACCCCTGTGACCTTGGTAGAAGGGTCAAGGTAATTAAATTTAGAAATATTTAATGGACTCTTTACCAAAAACCTTATCGGACAAAATTCGGGATCGTGAATTTTTGATCAATTGAAGTTGTTTAAGTGTTTTAATTAAGTTGGCCCTTGTAACCTTGAATATGGATCAACAGAATGTAATTGATTTTTCAAACTTAATGTTGAGCTGCATTAAAGAACCTAAAAGTGAATTATCATGAACCTACTGGCAGCCATTTTGTTATTCAGAAGAACCCCTCAGTGACTTTCAGTTTAGGATTAACCTACCAGTCAAATATAATGATCCAAGGCCTTTCAACTAATGAGAAGAAGTTTTCAGTGTTTTAACAAATTTTACCCTTTTTTTTCTTTTTGAAAACTTTGTCTAGCTTCATCACAGAAACCTATCAAATGTTTGTGAGATACTATCCCCTTCACTTACACAAACCTAACCACATTGAGTATGACTTTTCCATTAATTTCAAACAGCAAGTGTTAAACAAAGTTGACCCCTCTGACATTGAATATGTTCACTAAGGTAATTTCCTTTCTTTTCATCGACAGACACCTCACTACAACATAAGCTCTCCTAGCAATTTGGGCCAGGTGAGCTGAAAAAGACACATCTGTGTTTGAATTACACAGATGTAATATTATAATATTAATATTATGTTCAGAACATTCAAACTTCTTTTATTTTATTTGTTTGTCCATGTTACAGTAAAAAGCGTCATTTGGAACGTCATTATGGAGGATTTGGTACTGCTAACGAGTGTGAACTATACCATGGCACAGTACCAGATGCTATAGACGTAATCAGTGAGCAAAACTTTGACATGCGGCTAGCTGGGGGTCGCGTTGGAACTCTCCTTGGCAAGGGAACTTATTTTGCTGCTGAAGCTAAAATTTCTGATGGTTACGCTTCACCCGACAGAAATCGTCATAAATTTATGTTTGTGGCCAAAGTCCTTGTAGGAAAGTATTGTGTGGGCAATAGCGATTATACCCGGCCTCCCTCTCAGAACCCGCGTGATAATCAGTCTGTACTGTTTGATAGCTGTGTAGACAACATGAAGAACCCTCGTATCTACTGTGTGTTTGACAATAACCAGTATTATCCAGAATACATTGTAGAATATATGTAGGTTGTAAAACATAACACTTCAAGTTAATGGCAGAATTTTGTATATATACTGTAGCTCTCCTGCAATAAGCCCAGGGAGTGAACATACAGATTCTGAAGTCAGGAGTGAGTTCACTACTTGTTATACTGGACACTGAAATAAAACTGAACAATACGGGATTTTAATCACCTTATTACCAGCCATGAGTTTAATATCATGTATGGGACATATTATAGCTTAACAGTTATTGCAGTGAATTCAGAATGCAAAAAAATATATCCATCTTTATTTCTTTATATTTTAGTCTTTGTAATTTCAAGTTTGTTATTGCTGAAAATAATTTTGGCCGTGCTTGTAATAAAAAATGCAAAAATTATGCTTGTTGCATATATATATATAAATTTAAATCTGCCTAGTGATATTTTGAATTGTAATTGATGTGGAAATCAAATTTCTTGTACAAAATGATTAAAAAGAATATATTAATTGTATATTATGGATGTCTTTCTAAACCTGCCTGTGATATTTAGACGCGTGATTAATTCAAAATTCAAGTTCTTGTACGTTAGGAAGCAAACTTAGAATGCAAATTTTTAAAAACTGACTTTCTCATTTTTCGCATTTTCCATGTTCTAAGTGACCTCACAACGATTGTGGAACATATCTGCTATCTTGATATTCATTTAAGTGTTGAGTGTTACCATTTTCTATTTTTCACCTGGGAGTATATATTTTTTTATGCTCCCAGAAGTTTTTGGGGGAGCATATAGTGCCTTGTCCATCCATCCGTCTTTGAATCCATCCTTTCATGCTCCAGTTAAGCTAGGATAACGAAACCTGGTGTATACATTGATCATACTAAAACAATGTGCTGTGTACCAAATTCAGGGCCCGCAATCCCTTAATTACAGAGTTATTGCCCTTAGTTAAAATTTTGTGTCTAGAGCACAAATTTAAATCGCTTGCATTTTAAATTAGGATGATGAAACTTGGGTGATACATTGATCATACTAAGACAATGTGCTGTGTACCAAATTCAGTGCTCTTGACCCCTCATGACAGAGTTATTGCCCTTTGTTAAATATATCTTGTCCAGAGTATAAATTTGCTTACATTTAAGGTAGGATAATGAAACCTGGTGTATACATTGAACATACAAAGACAATGTGCAGTTTACTAATATAAGGACCTGCAATCCCTTAATTACAGAGTTATTGCCCTTTGTCAAAATTTTGTGTCTGGTGTATAACTTTATCTGCAGCTGAACTAGGATATTGATATATACATCAGTCATTCCAAAGTGAAGTGCAGTGTTCAATGTTAGGGCCCCAAACCCCTTAATTACACAATTATTGCCCTTTGTTAAAATTATAGGTCAAATAAAGTCGTTTTTTGGGAGCATTCATCAGTTTCACTGATGCTCTTGTTTTTTACTGTTTTAGTTGTATTTTAAATTTTTTTATGTATTTCTGTCACAGAGCTTTAATCAAATATTGATCTGTTAATTTTTTATTGCGATGATCCAGTTCTTCAATGGCGAAAAATATGACTTGCCCAACATATATTCCATTTTGAACACCAAATTTGGAAAATTTTAACTTGCTATCATCATACAGTATACATATTGTTGTATAAATTCAGTCAAGAACCATATTTACAGAATACATTCCATAAATCAAATGTATATTGGACTAATTTTGTAGTAAATTCAGGGATCAACACATTACACTCAAAATCATGGGATTGGCTTGTTACAGAACTCTAATATGAGAGCCATTACATTACACTTCACTCAAAGCAGGGATAGGCTAATTATAGGACCTAAGAGAGCCAACACATTACACTTTACTCAAAATTAGGGGATGGGGTAATTACAGGACCCATTTCAGTCAACACGTCAGATTTTACTCAGAATTTGGGGACAGGGTAATTACAGGACCCAACTCAGTCAACACATTAGATTTTACTCAGAATTATGGGACAGGGTAATTACAGGACCCAACTGAGCCAACAGTAGATTTTACTCAGAATTAGGGGACAAGGTAATTACAGGACCCAAGAGAGCCAACACAATAGATTTTACTCAGAATTAGGGGATAGGGTAGTTACAAGACCCAAGTCAGTCAACACATTACACTTCAAACAAAATCAGGGGACAGGGTAATTATAGGACCCAAAAGAGGCAACACATTAGATTTTACTCAAAAATTAGGGTATGGGGTAATTACAGGACTCAACTGAATCAACACATTACATATTCAATCAAAATCATTTGACAAAATAGGCTGATTATAGGACCAAAGAGAGCCAACACATCACATCTTCACACAAAACCAGGGGAAGGGCTAATTACAAGAAATTGAAATAACTTTTTTTTAACTGTACAGATATGTTGTTTGGCTTTATTACCAGGCATGGGATTATAGCTATGGATAAATATGTAATGTGACAATGATGATGGGAAAAGTATGTATAGTTTTATGTTCCCCAGTGTTATAACTATTTAGAGAAGTTAAAGTTGATAAAGATTCTAACATGAGAAAACTTGTTGTATACCATAGTACAGAACATGTTGGTCTTCAGTCCTGTCAGGTTACGTCACTCCTGTGAGAGTGACGTAGGCATATGTGATCTAACGTCAACCAGAAGAGTGACCAAGATGGATATTGGCCATGGTATTTTGTGGAAACTCTGAATCCACAAATACATACACATGCGTCCATGGACTGTTGAAATTAGTGTAAAAAGATTACATGAGCTATATTTTTCCACAAAATCAAGTGTCAATGAAATAAGAATTTTTGAATTAACCACAGAAATGAGTCATCCCACAAAAATGTGATTTTATGGTACTTTATTATATTGCATGATGATACGATTGTTATGTTTTATGTTTGAATTATATGTTTTACACAATGTAATCTGTTTGATAAAGCGCTATTTTTTCTATAAAATATTTTTGTGGCTATACATGTTGTCTTGTTTTATATTTTACCTGAATTGTCATCATTTTATGTTTGATATTTTTGTACACAATGTAATCTGTTTACATGTACGACGCTATTTTTTCGATAAAATATTTTTGTACGGCTATACATGTAGGACTTGTTTTATATTTACATGTAATTGTCATCATTTTATTAGATATTTACATGTAGGATGTACCCCTATTTACATGTACAATGTACCCCTATTTACATGTACGACATACCCCTATTTACATGTACGACGTACCCCTATTTACATGTACGACGTACCCCTATTTACATGTACGACGTACCCCTATTTACATGTACGACGTACCCCTATTTACATGTACGACGTACCCAAGACTCTACAGTCTCATATAACACTGTCTCACCATTCACCAAGTCTTCTAATATCTGGTAACCTATCACAATCAAGGTGAGAGTTTCACAAAGCAAAACACCTGATAATCAGTTCTGTTATGTGGGTTGAGATGATGCTTATATTATTTGGACATTATTGGACTTCAATTAAAAGATAGATTTCAAAATAAAAAAAATAAAGATTAACAAGAGGCCCACAGGCCTTCACATTATCTTACTTTAAAGACCTATATATGTAAGAAGCCAAATTGGCCTAACAAATTGTTAACTACTCCACAGCTTTAAAAAAAATTTCAGGTTTGTAAAAATATTTTCTGCAAAGTTGAAATTCTGTTCTTAATATACATAAATATAATTACTCCTGACCAGTTGCTTGTTGAAAAAGATATTTTGAGATCTCAACTCAATTGACTCATTTGGTTATAGGTCAAGGCCAATTATTCGAATAAATTCATCCATTTCTGTTAAAGAACCAATATCAACAGCCTGGACCTTTAATTATTGAGAAGAAAGTCATTTGAAGATTTTAACACATTTGACACCTGTGACCTTTAAAATGAGAAAAGGTCAATCTCATGAACAAAATTAATAACCATTCATCCCAGTTGTTTAAAGATTTTAACATATTTGACACCTGTGAACTTGGAAAATGGTCAAGGTCAATAATATGTACAAACTAAGAACCCTTCACCTCCGCATGCTACAGGCCAAATGTCAGCACTCTCTTGGCCTGTTGGTTTTAGAGAAGTTGCTTTAAGTTTTTTTTTACACATTTAATCCCTTTTACCTTGAAAATGGGTCAAGATAATTCATATTAACAAACTTGGTAGTAATTCACCTATATGTATGCTACAGGCCCAATATCAGCACCCTGGGCCATTTGGTTATTAAGGAGAAGTCATTTAAAGACTTTAACGTATCTTGTCCCCATGATCTTGAAAATCGGTAAAGGTCATTCTTTTTTATACACTTGGTAGCCCTTCATCCTATCGTACTACAGGTCCAATATCAGCACCCTGGGTCTTTTGGTTATTGAGAAAAATTCTTTTGAATGAAAAGTTTACAGATGGTGGTCGACTGACAAAATACAATGGAATAGTAACAGAACATCATGTGATTCTATCAATGCAGCAAGTTTCTGGGGGATTTTAATTGGAAACACTGAAGGTAACACCACAGGACACAAATCTGGGCAGTATATACAATCTTATAACCAAATGACAAGTCAACTCTTTAGATGTGGTGTTTCACTAATTTTTCATATCTGATGGCCATTTTCCAGCAATTACAGGGCAATACATATCAAAAACTGAAAACATGATGATGACGACAACAATTATGATGATCTTCAAATGTTAAAGATATGATGTATGTCATACTAACCAAACAGCTATGGGCAAGTGAACATCGCAACAAATCAAAATCCAAAATTGAAAAGTGAATTAAAAGATATTTTATTCATTGCATTATAAATATAACAGTGAAAATTCTTCCAAGCATTCATTGTTCGACAACATTTTTTTTTCTTCTATAACTGTAACACATAGCATTTCAGGGATCTAACCAGAATCAAATTACTCACACATCTATGCACAGTGTAATAAGCATATATTTAATATAAAGATTTTTAGAAAGATGGTGACAATAAGTGAAAAACTTGGGCACTGCTTTGAGTACATAATAATTCTTCTCTGTTGAAAAAAGAAGAGAAGAAAATTCAGATGTAATTTTTAAAAATGAAATAAATGTAATTTAATGCTTTTTATGAATATGACATTATACAGCATGACAATTGTTGATTTTTGTCAAATCTTGTCTCTATCTATTATCACAAATGTTCAAAAACAAAAAAAAATTTGTATTTTACAAATACACTTGTCATAAATTACTGATGTAGTCAATAAGTAAAAAAGTAAAAAACGACATCAAAAAAATACCAACATAGCAACATAATCATAATCCAAACACAAATTCTGTAAAACTAGGGCAAAGTATAAACAAAACAAAGGTTTATGCGGAGACTCCAGTAAAAGTGCAAGGAGAATAAGACCAGGTGTGGGAACTTTAGTTTACTTTATTTTGTATTATATAACTGTTCATTTTACAAAATATATAAAAGATATTTTTATCACTCATGAGTAACCAGCTTATTCCATGGATACTTGGGAAAACTCTGAGGACACTAGGAGAAAACCAAGATACCTGGAAACCTGGATAACTTGACGACGACGACGATGACGACGACGACGACGATGATGATGATGATGACGATGATGACGACTTGTATTTGGAGAAAATCAGGGCCCCAGAGAAAACCAATATAGAAGAACAGTTATATGGTTAATGAATGACCAGGAAAGCCATAGAGGCCACTGGTCCACACAATAACATTAGGCAACAAGTATTAACTATAATGGGACCGGAGTCCCCTAAACTACCAAATTAGCCAACATCACTGCATCAGTCTTAAAGTACCTCAAAACAGGGAAGGAAGGTCAACAGAACAGGCTCATATTAAACAGCAAATCCATATACAACATAGTAAAAATAAATTTGGATATCACATACCACCAATAACAAAATCATCTACTGATGACTGAAAGTCAGACCGGGATATACATTTCTATCAATATGTTATAGTATGCTTGAACATTCCAAAATTTGTCAGCGTTTCAGCTGCTTGATTTCTCGAGTGATTTTGATCGATCTTCACACTCTTGTAATTAGGACAATTGCTTAATCAGACAAGTTTGAGTTTCAGAGGGACAGGGTCAAGGTCAAGATCAGACAAGTTTGAGTTTCAGAGGTCAAGGTCAAAGTCACCATACCTATCCTATTTTCAGAAAATCTTTGTCAGAACTTAAGCCTTAAGGGAGTTTTGTCCACTTTCACATTCTTCTAAAAAACCATAAGATCTCAGATGAATGTGAGTTTCAAGGTTTTACTTTTTCTAGAAAATCTTGTCATTGCTCAATGGCATTTATTCAATGAATGTGAAATAAAGTTTTCCTGGATAAGAATTTCAAAATGGCTTCATTGAAAAATTTTCCCAAAAAATCTAAATATAGGCCATTTCATGTTATCTAAGAAAACCACAGCCTTGTTAAAAAGTTAGGTAATATAAGCCACTGAAAATCAGAACAATTATTGTATATTTTACTTTAAGATAACAGTCAGTATCAACATGCTCACCTTCATCTACAAAAATACAGAAACACACAATACAGACAAGATTCCATTCTAATTCAAAATAGAATTATTATATTCTCCACAATACCATTAGCAACACAGCTTACTCAAATTTATATATAAAAACTATTTTGATTCAAAGTCAACATAACTACAATTAAATAATAAGCATTCTTGCTATCAAAGTGGTAAAATGGTTTGAACTATTGTGTAGAAAAACAAAGTATGACAGTTACATTGTAAAGATAAAGGCCCATTTCAGAAAATCAAATTTCAAGCACTCAATATTAAAGTTTTCTACAATAAATATACATTGTATGTGGTCCACCTCTAAGTATAATATACTAAAATATAACCACATGCTTTACCTATACCTCTAGTACAATAATGTTGTATGTGAGTTTTTTGGGACTCTATATTTCTTAGATGGCATATTTTCTGAAATCACAGCTCACCTATTACAGCATATACTGTACACGTAGCATTCACCTTAAATTATACCACAACTCGGGTTATTACAGAATTCATGCCAGATGATAAAAAATCTGGGGTTATTGAAACATTCACCCTATATGATACTCCAACTTGGGTTATTGGAGATGTCACCCCAGATCATTCACCCTAAATGACACTCCAACTTGGGTTATTGGAGATGTCACCCCAGATCATTCACCCTAAATGACACTCCAACTTGGGTTATTGGAAGTTGGTCAGCATAAAGATAATTCTCTACAATCATGGCATTAACAACATCAAATACAACAACAGTCATTAGATAACAAAAAAGTTTGCCACACCCCCCCCCCCAACCCTCCCCCCCAAAAAATAGAAATATGCCAGCATCTGAAAAAATGATAAACACTGTCACTACAGTTGTATCCTTATTATAGTATCACATAACTGGCGAATTCTGCCAGGTCATTGTGTCGTTATTTAATTTCACTGAGTCAATAAATTCCTGTTTTCCTGGTTTGGACAAGAACATGGATATCAAATTTTGTATACTTGTATATCAGTCGAAGAGAGCAAGGTTCACCTTAACACAGGGACATGATAGCTCTGTTGGTTAGAACGTAGGTCAATTCAGATTGAGATCCGAGGTATGTCTCTGGATGGCAGGCTGTGGGCCTCCCATATGTTGTTCAGTGCGGAAGTTAACAGCCCTGTCTGTTCATGGAGTGATTAACACAGCAAACAACCCCAATCACTGTTATACAGTAATAATGTTTACTGGGTGTCTAATCTGGTGCTTAACCAAAAATCACATGAATGAAGTCTAGCACAGTCTAACACAGCAATAACCTGCAATAACACTGTTCAATCTCCATCAAACAATTCAACAATGATGAAATTATTACCTATATTCAATGATATATTCTGGATAATATTGATTTGTATCAAATAAACAGAAGATTTTTGGGTTCTTCACATTGTCCACACAGCAGTCATAGAGCCTGGAGTGAGGGTCAGTCGGGTCGACAGGTGGTGGACGACGATACTGGTTTTTGCCTAAACAACACTTGCCTGCCAAAACACGTGTCAGAACCATAAACTTGTGGTGATTTGCATCGCCTTGAGCGTACAGATCTGAATATTTAGCCTCGACTGCGAAATAAGTTCCTTGTCCAAATATGGCACCAACACGCTCACCAGCCAAGCGAAAATCCAGATTTTCTTTGCAGATTTTGTCGATCTTGTCTGGAAGCGTCCCGTGGAAAAGTTCCATTTCATTGGCTCCACCCATTCCATATTGCCCTTCTAGCTGACGTTTTTTCCTGAAGATAAAGAAATGGTTTGATCATTTAAACCTTTTACATATACCATATTTTCTGGGCCACAAACCGCACCCAAGTTTAAGCTGCAGGACTGGTTTTTAACGATTTAGTATACATACATGTATTCGATTAATAATTTTAAGTTTACGTTTGTGTACCGTACATGGTAGACCAAAGAACTTTAAAGGTTATATCAAGTTTTTGTTATTGCATGTATATAGATCACAGAGTCACCTACTGTCTCGGAATATACTATGAAGATAGAGGGATTCTTTTTCTGTTAAATAATCCTGTGTCTTGTCATTTTGTTATAATCAAATTAATTTACATAAAAATAATATAGAGATAGATGTGCATGACATGAACTTTTACATATACCTAGTGTAAACTCAATTATTGTGAGCGAATCCCACCAATTTTACTTCATCATCTTTATGCTAATAATTGCTATTCATACTCAAAATCTGATAAAAGAGACAGACAAACATCTTGGAATGATCACATCACCTTTACCATGTAAACATTGACAGGATTCTTAATGGCAGTATTTTCTTAAGTAACACTGTGTGAGTCAGAGTTATGTCCCCTTGTTAACTCTTCAAGAAGAAGATATAGATGTTTGCTGCTATCTTGGTGTTGTGTATTTTTTGAAGCGTGAATTGAATTTGGCTACAAGGTTAAATCCTGTAACATTACATTAACCTCAACGCCTGATGATATAAAATTATACAAATACCTCACGGTTAACAAACATACAATGTATATATGACTGAATATATTTAGATCCCAAATGATCTTTATCTTAAAGCAAGAATCGGGCATCACTTCATGAAGCCAAGATACATTTACTATGTGAGGACATAGAAGATAGAAACTGTAACCTTGGCTTTAAACTTTGACATTTGACCTTGACTGTTTATCAGTACTATATATGGCATTCACCTTACATGATGATCATTTTCAGAATAAAGTTAAATCAATTTTAACTTCTGGAAAAACAAAACAGTTGGTGAAATTTGAGTACACAAGTGAGTCTGGGTACATACAGGAAATAGACCTCCCACAGAAACATGTTCTGTATGCGATGAATACTGAAGACCTCGGCTTGGGGTAGTGTGGTATAGAATTTCTTGGATACATTTTCATACTCCATTTTCTGCATGCCGCCACCCTCCACGGACACAGGGACACGTTTAAAACCATCACCGGACTTCATTGTGTCCCAGTGAGATGGCAAGTTAATGCCCCGTTTTGTTGTTTCAAATTTGTTGTGCTTTGCTTTATCGGCCAACCTAAAAGAACCAATAGCATACAAACACTGAGTATGGAAAGATCATTGTCCCCTGAAGGACATTTCTGTCCACAACTTCTGTTATGTTCAATATTTTTATTGGTAACAACTCCTGCTGTGCTTTATCTAGCATGGCAGCTCAAATTTTTGAGTGCATTGTAATACATACACACCAGCTGACTGCTATCTTATATATACACATACAGCTTACATAATGAAAATAAATTGATATACTGTCAATCACTTAGATTTTGTGAATACTTATTTCGCGAACTTGCCTTTTCAGACATATTTGCAAATACATAATTTCACAAACAGTGATCTAGAAATTTCTTCAAATTCACAAACGATAAGCTATTAGATACATGGTAACCAAATCAGCATGGATGTAATCAAGAATTAATTCTGTACAAATAATCGAGACATATTTGAATCTGTGATTGATTGTTGTTGCACTGACCTTTCCATAAATTTACGGACCATCATGTCTGAGGTGAGGTCAAGTGGTGTGTCTCCATCTTTATTTTTAATAGTGGTGTGTGCCCGGGACTCCAAAAGCAGACAAATGATCTGTATTGTTACCTCATGTTCCTGCTTAGCACCCATAATCTTACCACACTGTAATGTACACTCACAGACTTATGGTTCATAAGAGGAAGATATAATTAAACAAGTCAGAATTTAAAAATTTGGAACAATGAATGGAGTTCATTATTTACAGCAAACTGGTAGAAAAATGTAAACCGAATTTGAATGAAAGGTTTTAATTTTATATTTTTCGAAAGTATTGAATGGATGTTGGCCATCATACACGGTGTAAATACGTCAATTGACATACAAATTCAGTATTAACATGAAAACATAATCCTTCAAATCTTGTATATATTCTGTCAATTTTTTTAGCAGACGTACTATGAAAAAAGACCCTGAAAAACAATTTCCTTGTGATGGTCAGTTTTAAAATATGTGAGGTCTAATCATGTGTTTTCCTGGAGCTTAATTTTTGTTGTTTCTCAAAAATTGATCTTTTTGAGGATACCCTATTTTGTAGAATATGAGTACAATACATCTGCTCAACAAATATAGATAGTTCATGGATAAACAAATTTGTGGATTAAGAGTGCCCATAAAATTCACAAAAAAATTAAATGCTCAAAAAAACTAAACAGTATACCTTGAGTTGATACAAACCTCTTTTAAAGGATCTGTTCTAGTTAGTGCTAAGTGTAATGCTGTATTTCCAAAGGCATCTTGGGCATTCACATCAGATCCTAAAACAGAAAACAGTGTTGATATACACACACAGGACATTAAGGTCAGATCCTAAAATAGACAAGAGGCCCATAGGGCCTGTATTGCTCATCTGGTTTTCATTTGGTTGAAATTGTTTCATTGAAAATAATGGAAAAGGAATTTAAATATCTACACACAACATTTCTATTTTCCCATTAGATACCAATCCTCTGTCGTTAGAGGATCAGCCAAACCATTCATACTACAGACTAAATCATTTCAACAGGAGAAGTAGGATTTTAAAGAATTCACTTTATTTCCGATATCAGACCCTGCCCCTCCTGCCCAAGGGAGAAGAGACTCATGGTTTATACAAAAATAATTGATTCCTCTTCACCCATGAATTCTTTAGACCAAATATGGGCAAAATCCAATCATTCCTACAGGAGGAGTAGCATTTTAAAGAACTTGCAAAATTTCCCCATTTGGGCCTGGCCTCCAGGCCCCACCTGCAGCCCCAGGGTGTTAGACCCACCATTTACACAAAGTTGAAACACCTTCCACTAAGGATGCTTCTGACCAAATCTAGTCAAAGCATGCTCTCTTGTTCATGACAAGAAGCAATCTTTAGAAAAATGTGACAGACAGACTCTGTACAGCAGAAACCAGACAACAGCAGTCACCATGCCATCATAAGCATAAGCTCACCAGTCCTTTATAAACCAGGTGAGCTAAAAATGGTCATTCAATACACACTTTAAACATTTAGATAAGATTATAAAATCTGGATGTGGACATTCTATTTCTTGGTGTGAGCTTGTTCTATCAATTCCATGTGCATTTAGACAACTTCACCCTACAGATTGTCAAGAAAATTCTATATGTTCCTACAGATATCATGTATTATGTTATCCTTAAGTCATCCGAGACCTACAGCATACAGAACATTTACATGGACAGTCAACTTTATTAATCTCTTTATGTGAATTGTTTTATGCCAAATATTGAGAAAATGTTAAAATGCTTGATGTGAAATTCTTTACATTTATATCTAATTATTTTCAAATATCTTTAATTTCAATCAAATAAGACCTAAATTCATTGGAAAATATCTCTTCAAATATTTATATTAAATGTAAAGCTTGCTGATGATGTGTGATCTGTGCATATTGTTGGCTTTCCTTTACCATTTTATCTGTAATGTGTGTACGATTTCAAATTCTTTATGTAAACTGCATAATAGTACATGCTGAATGTGACGTGGTGTGAATTGGTTAATAAGGAGTACTTTTTTATGAAATTATTGATTTGAGATACAATGCACTGAATGCTCCGTAGCTTCCCTCGACTTCTAGTTTAATTGGCTATGATAAAACTACTTTTAAAACTTTGATTGAAACATTTTAAAAAAAACGTTCAGCATATGTCATATCAGCTTTCCATACATTGTGTACATCTGCAAGATATATATGTAATGTCGTTCAGACTAAATATAAACATTAATTACCTGCCGCTATGAGGAGTTCGATCACTTGTTTGTGACCTCCATTTACAGCGTAATGAAGCGGTGTTTTCTTTTCCTTGTCACCAATGTCAATGTTCAAATTATCCTATAACACACAGGCATCAACAATAAAATTGACCAGTCTCAAGTTCAGACAAATTAACCGATACAAATACTGGTGATTATTTTCTGATTGGAAATATTCCCTTGTCTGAAGCATTGAAATTATACAGAATACATCTACATCTTAACAGGAGACAAATGAATCTACACTGTTGTCTTATATTAGCCACAGTAAATCAATGGATTTTACTCATTAAATGAGTGTGTCAATGTTTTACTCATATGAGTAAAGCAATGGTTTTAACTTATATGAGTAAATCAATAGTTTACTCATGTGAGTAAATCAATGGTTTTCTCAAATAAATAATCAACAGGTTACTCAAATGAGTAACGAATGTTTTACTCAAATGAGTAATCAAATGACACTTTTGCTCACATGGTAATCAATGTTTTACTCTGATGAGTAACCAATGTTTTGAATCACAGCTGCACTCTCATTGACTCACATGAGTCTATCAGTGTTGTAAGTAAATCAACATTGCACTCACTCTAGATTTTAACACCAGGCAGTTGGTGGCATCCACAAAGTTATTGGCAGCGACAATGTGGAGAACTGTAAATCCGTCGGAACTCTGGTCATTTATAAAGTTTTTGTTCAGTACTAATATCAGCTCCAAGGCCCTGAAAAATTACACATTCAGGTCTTCTAAAAGTTGTCCAGTTTAAGAAACAAAATTGATTTGAATTAAGGCAAAGTGTATAACTTATGTATACTACCATGTTATCATCATTACAACACATCAGAGATTTTTTACAAAAAAAAAAAAAAAAAAAAACCAATAGATTGTATTCAAAGAATCCAGTTCTCATTTTTCTGTTAAACCTATTCATCATATTCAGTCATACATTACATTTCTACAATACTTTAATAAGTTTTACAATAAACAGATAGATACATACCCGACGTTATTCTTGAGTCCTGCCCATTGCAGAACATTGAAGCCACTTTTGTTGGGGATGGTAAAATCAGCATTGCGGGCTTTAAGGACTGCCTCCATGATCCGAGGTTGCCCATTTCTTTGTTGTACAGCGTCATGCATGGTTGTGTCACCATCACCTGCCTGTTTAAACAATCAATTCATACTTTAAGATCATACATTTTGATGGGACTCAAATTTTAATGGTTTTCCAAAAAAAAAATCCTTTTTTTGTTGACAATTAGTACTTTAATCCATGTCAACATTTATCTGTTTATCTTTTCATTGACATATAAAATTGTAGACTGCGAGTACTAACAAATGAAGTGAAAATAAAACCCCACCTAAAATTCACAATTTCATAGTAACCTTTTGTGTATTAGTAAATACACAGGCCCCAGGATAAGGATTCGGTGATGTTTCTGGTTGTAAATTTTATCCCCTATGTCTTCTGTTAGGCTTCAATTTTATTACAGATCTGACAAACATTTTTAAGTCCTATTTTCCGTTTCTTTTCTTCAACTGAGTGTTTATGATTACACCCAATCCCTTACAGAAAATCTTTTTTAATTTCAACTTGTATGATTTGAAGATCCCTTTTAACTCGAAGTATTCCTCCAGTCCTGCACCTTTTCCATTTTTCAATCCTAATTCCCAGGGATGGAATAAGGAATCTTTGACTTGGTATATTTATGGGGCTACAGAATCAGAAATTCTCACTAGAAAGTCTTTCTGACTGTTATAAACATATCCTGATACTAATAAACTCCACAATGTGATATTCCATATTGAGATACCTTAATATTAACATCACTCCCATGCTGGACCAGGAGTTCTACAGCCTCTTCACAAGCTTTACCAATAGAGATGTGTAGTGGACTGTGACCTGCCTTGTTCACTTTGTTGACCTTTGCCCCTGCTTTCAATAGCTGTCTCATTGTATTTGTTTCCTTCCTGTTAGTACATTAAAGCATATCACAAATCCATATCCTCAGTGTAGAGGGTGATAATCATACAGTCAATCTGCTATAATTACTGTCAATTTTTTTTTTCAATTTTAATTCATTTTTCATTTTCTTCATAAATTATAACAGTACATTGTGCAATGTCATTGTACAAAAACAAGTTTTCTAAAGTTTTATAATCAAACATACATAGAAACCTGACCAGTTATGCTTCAAAGCTTTATAAGATCTTGTCAAGGTCAATGTTAACATCACTATTAAGATCTGAGGTCAAGGTTCATTTCACTTTACTGTTATTGACTGATCATTAATTTTAGCCTAAACATCTGAGGTTTTCATTGGCAGATATTTTATGTCACATATAATTGAAAAATTTTAACCCATTTTCACTACATCATTGTTGGTCAAGGTTATTCACATTCAGTAGAGTGGTAACTGATACGTTTTGCATCAAGTGGGAAGGGTATCTAGTTGAGTTAGTTGATTATCGATGACCCTCATTATATAATATATAGAACAGAATGATTTTTAGTATGAAGTAAACACAAACTAAATCTATTGTGAGGGTCTATTGTTTCAAAATAAGAAAGGAACAGATGTGCTATACCCAAAGGCAGCATAGTGCAGTGCGCTGTCTCCTTCTCCATCTTGAAGGTCAAGGTCGACACCTGGTTGCTTAAGGAGAAGTTCAACAATCTGGGAATGCCCCTCGTAACACGCCAGATGTAAAGCTGTCTTGCCATCTTGGGCAAAGTTCACCTTTAAATAAATGTAAACTCTTAAATAATACATCAAACAAAACAGAATCAATCATTTAGAATTGTTTACTATTAGCTTTTATGTAACAAGGCACCATACCACAAGATTAATATGGGCCCCATCCACGAGACACCAAATACTGATGTAAAATAATACAGTCATTCTGTTACTAGTATTTTGTATAAACTTTATATCGCTGCAAGAGCTAGCTGTCAATGTTGGAAAACACCTGTAGTATATATATTTATACTGTACAATGTGATGGAAAACACCTGTAGTATATATACTTATACTGTACAATGTGATGGTAAACACCTGTATATATATACTTATACTGTACAATGTGATGGTAAACACCTGTAGTATATATACTTATACTGTACAATGTGATGGTAAACACCTGTATATATATACTTATACTTATACTGTACAATGTGATGGAAAACAGCTGTATATATATACTTATACTGTACAATGTGATGGTAAACAGCTGTATATATATACTAATACTGTACAATGTGATGGTAAACACCTGTATATATATACTGTACATTGTGATGGTATACACCTGTAGTATATATACTTATACTGTACAATGTGATGGTAAACACCTGTATATATATACTTATACTGTACAATGTGATGGTAAACACCTGTATATATATACTTATACTGTACAATGTGATGGTAAACACCTGTAGTATATATACTGTACAATGTGATGGTAAACACCTGTAGTATATATACTGTACAATGTGATGGTAAACACCTGTATATATATACTTATACTGTACAATGTGATGGTAAACACCTGTATATATATACTTATACTGTACAATGTGATGGTAAACACCTGTATATATATACTGTACAATGTGATGGTAAACACCTGTAGAATGTGATGGTCAACACCTGTATATATATACTTATACTGTACAATGTGATGGTAAACATCCCTAGTATATATACTTATACTGTACAATGTGATGGTAAACACCTGTATATATACTTATACTGTACCATGTGATGGTAAACAGCTATATATATATACTTATACTGTACAATGTGATGGTAAACACCTGTAGTATATATACTTATACTGTACAATGTGATGGTAAACACCTGTACAATGTGATGGTAAACACCTGTATATATATACTTATACTGTACAATGTGATGGTAAACTCTGTAGTATATATACTGTACAATGTGATGGTAAACACCTTTATATCTATACTTATACTGTACAATGTGATGGTAAACACCTGTAGTATATATACTTATACTGTACAATGTGATGGTAAACACTTGTATTTATATACTTACACTGTACAATGTGATGGTAAACAGCTGTAGTATATATACTTATACTGTACAATGTGATGGTAAACACCTGTATATACTTATGGTAAACACCTGTATATATATACTACTGTACAATGTGATGGTAAACACACCTGTATATATATATACTGTACAATATATATACTGTACAATGTGATGGTAAACACCTGTATATATATACTTATACTGTACAATGTGATGGTAAACACCTGTAGTATATATACTTATACTGTACAATGTGATGGTAAACACCTGTAGTATATATAATGTACAATGTGATGGTAAACACCTGTATATATATACTGTGATGGTAAACACCTGTATATATATACTTATACTGTACAATGTGATGGTAAACAGTATATATACTGTATATATATATATATACTTATACTGTACAATGTGATGGTAAACACCTGTATATATATACTTATACTATATACTTATATGTGATGGTAAACACCTGTATATATATACTTATAATTTTCAATGTGTTGGTTAACAGCTGTATTATTTATACTTTACAATGTGATGGTTAACAACTTTAGTATATATACTTATACTGTACAATGTGATGGTTAACAACTGTAGTATATAGTACTATATACTGTACAATGTGATGGTAAACACCTGTATATATATACTTATACTGTACAATGTGATGGTAAACACCTGTATATATATACTTATACTGTACAATGTGATGGTAAACACCTGTATATATATACTTATACTGTACAATGTGATGGTAAACACCTGTAGTATATATACTTATACTGTACAATGTGATGGTAAACACCTGTATATATATATACTGTATATGGTAAACACCTGTATATATATACAATGTGATGGTAAACACCTGTATATATATATATTATACTGTACAATGTGATGGTAAACACCTGTATATATATACTTATACTGTATATACTTATACAATGTGATGGTAATACATACTGTACTGTAGTTTATATACTTACACTGTACAATGTGATGGTAAACAGCTGTAGTATATATACTTATACTGTACAATGTGATGGTAAACACCTGTAGTATATATACTTATACTGTACAATGTGATGGTAAACACCTGTATATATATACTTATACTGTACAATGTGATGGTAAACACCTGTATATATATACTTATACTGTACAATGTGATGGTAAACACCTGTATATATATACTTATACTGTACAATGTGATGGTAAACACCTGTAGTATATATATTTATACTGTACAATGTGATGGTAAACACCTGTAGTATATATACTTATACTGTACAATGTGATGGTAAACACCTGTATATATATACTTATACTGTACAATGTGATGGTAAACAGCTGTAGTATATATACTGTACAATGTGATGGTAAACACCTGTAGTATATATACTGTACAATGTGATGGTAAACACCTGTAGTATATATACTGTACAATGTGATGGTAAACACCTGTAGTATATATACTTATACTGTACAATGTGATGGTAAACACCTGTAGTATATATACTTATACTGTACAATGTGATGGTAAACACCTGTATATATATACTTATACTGTACAATGTGATGGTAAACACCTGTAGTATATATACTGTACAATGTGATGGTAAACACCTGTAGTATATATACTTATACTGTACAATGTGATGGTAAACACCTGTATATATATACTTATACTGTACAATGTGATGGTAAACAGCTGTATATATATACTTATACTGTACAATGTGATGGTAAACACCTGTATATATATACTTATACTGTACAATGTGATGGTAAACACCTGTATATATATACTTATACTGTACAATGTGATGGTAAACACCTGTAGTATATATACTGTACAATGTGATGGTAAACACCTGTATATATATACTGTACAATGTGATGGTAAACACCTGTATATATATACTTATACTGTACAATGTGATGGTAAACACCTTATACTGTACAATGTGATGGTAAACACTGTGTATATATACTTATACTGTACAATGTGATGGTAAACACCTGTATATATATACTTATACTGTACAATGTGATGGTAAACACCTGTAGTATATATACTTATACTGTACAATGTGATGGTAAACACCTGTAGTATATATACTTATACTGTACAATGTGATGGTAAACACCTGTAGTATATATACTGTACAATGTGATGGTAAACACCTGTAGTATATATACTTATACTGTACAATGTGATGGTAAACACCTGTAGTATATACCTGTATATATATACTATACTGTACAATGTGATGGTAAACACCTGTAGTATATATACTTATACTGTACAATGTGATGGTAAACACCTGTAGTATATATAATGTACAATGTGATGGTAAACACCTGTAGTATATATACTTATGCTGTACAATGTGATGGTAAACAGCTGTATATATATACTTATACTGTACAATGTGATGGTAAACAGCTGTATATATATACTTATACTGTACAATGTGATGGTAAACACCTGTAGTATATATACTTATACTGTACAATGTGATGGTAAACACCTGTATATATATACTTATACTGTACAATGTGATGGTAAACACCTGTATATATATACTTATACTGTACAATGTGATGGTAAACACCTGTATATATACTTATACACAATGTGTATATATATACTTATACTGTACAATGTGATGGTAATATATATACTTATACTGTACAATGTGATGGTAAACAGCTGTAGTATATATACTGTACAATGTGATGGTAAACACCTGTATATATATACTTATACTGTACAATGTGATGGTAAACACCTGTAGTATATATACTGTACAATGTGATGGTAAACACCTGTATATATATACTTATACTGTACAATGTGATGGTAAACACCTGTATATATATACTTATACTGTACAATGTGATGGTAAACACCTGTAGTATATATACTGTTGTGATGGTAAACACCTGTATATATATAAATCTTATATTTATAAATGTGTCACATAAACAAGTATATATATATATACTTATATTGTAAAATGAGTGATTACTGTAACAAATTTGAAAACTAAAATATATAATTGCAAAAGTTGACGTCTGAAATTATACACAGCAAATATATCGGCATGCATCATCTGGTCAAATTTAATGTCAATTACATGTTTGTAACAAACTTATACAGTTTTAACACAAAATGTTGATGTTTTAATAAATCTTAATTTCTATAAATGTGTCTAGAAAACAAGATCAAGTAGGTTATGGTCATTCAATTGACCAAATTTGAAAACTAAAATTATTTAACTCTCACAGCCTAATATAGTGTATATATTTCACAACAATGTTAGCCTAATATAGTGTATATATTTCACAACAATGATGAAACAAAACGGTATATTTATAATATAAAAGATAAAAGAAAACAAAACTTTCTGGTGAATTTTCAGATTGTAACAAAACGAAAACGAAATATTTTGGAAGTGAAATATGTTCATTTCCTTTTGCATCATGTCACCATGTTTACACATCACAGTAACTATAAATAACGATGACATCATCTCCTGTATCTTACCCTGTCTGGTTTTTCACTAAGAATCTGCTGTATAGTGTTTAAGTCGTTCTGAGACGCAGCCTGTACAATGTTCCTAGAAGCACACTGTGTAGGAGGTTGAACCTTGAGCATGTCAACGAAGAGCTGAGCAATAGCTTCTGATACATCTGAAACAAAATAATTCTACACTATACAACCTTAGCATTGCACAACTCCTGTGAATCACTCGAGAGGTACGCCTGGTGTCTGACGGAGAATCCAGACTGAAAGCTATCATTCTCAAACAATATTATCTCAGTACCATGTGTGAATTAATTTCACAATACAATAGAGCCAATGAAATTTAATTCTAATAAAATTACGCATCAACGAAGATTCTGGTGAATTTTCTGAGCATACAGTATACAGACACAAAAATCCAGAAAGTAATTTAAAAGTTTGTCTATAGATTCTATACAACATTATCTCAGTACTATGTTTCATAAAGTGTGATTGGCTTTAAATTATAAGTCTGTAGAATAACAATAATATTGTCTGTAGATGTGGTACATAATATTGTCTATAGATGTGGTACATAATATTGTCTGTAGATGTGGTACATAATATTGTCTGTAGATGTGGTACATAATATTGTCTGTGGACACTAGCCCGCAGAAAATAATATTGTCTGTAGATGTGGTATTAATATTGTCTGTAGATGTGGTACATAATATTGTCTGTAGATGTGGTACATAATATTGTCTGTAGATGTGGTATATAATATTGTCTGTAGATGTGGTATATATTGTCTGTAGATGTGGTATATGATATTGTCTGTAGATGTGGTATATGATATTGTCTGTAGATGTGGTATATATTGTCTGTAGATGTGGTATATATTGTCTGTAGATGTGGTATATATATTGTAATGTGGTATATATATTGTCTGTAGATGTGGTATATATTGTCATAGATGTGGTATATAATGTTGTCTGTAGAATATATTAATGAAATGTGGTATATAATATTGTCTGTAGATATATATTGTCTGTAGATGTGGTATATATGTCTGTAGATGTGGTATATATTGTCTGTAGATGTGGTATATGTTATTGTCTGTAGATGTGGTATATGTTATTGTCTGTTGATGTGGTTTATATTGTCTGTAGATGTGGTATATATATGTCTGTAGATGTGGTATATATTGTCTGTAGATGTGGTATATATTGTCTGTATATTATTGTCTGTAGATGTGGTATATATTGTCTGTAGATGTGGTATATATTGTCTGTAGATGTGGTATATATTGTCTGTAGATGTGGTATATATTGTCTGTAGATGTGGTATATATTGTCTGTAGATGTGGTATATATTGTCTGTAGATGTGGTATATATTGTCTGTAGATGTGGTATATATTGTCTGTAGATGTGGTATATATTGTCTGTAGATGTGGTATATATTGTCTGTAGATGTGGTATATAATATTGTCTGTAGATGTGGTATATAATATTGTCTGTAGATGTGGTATATAATATTGTCTGTAGATGTGGTATATAATATTGTCTGTAGATGTGGTATATAATATTGTCTGTAGATGTGGTATATATTGTCTGTAGATGTGGTATATATTGTCTGTAGATGAGTATCTACCCCTTCCACTGATGCTCATTTCCTTCTCCTCTGAACTGTCATCTTCATCATCTACTACTACTGATGTTCCCAGAAACAGAGATGGAGGAGAGTCAGATTCGGCTCCTCGTGGGGTATATGCACTGACACATGTTGGGTTAAATATCCACATCCTATCATTGACTTTGACACGAATGTCACCATCGTTGTCTATACGTGCGATGCGCCCCTGTTTGTTCAGTACCTACATCATAATACAGATGTTTACTTGGAAGTAAAACAAACCATTCTTTACATAACTGCTTGGGTTTTATTTTCGCATTCTTTAAACTCCACGATTCACTAAACTACTGCAGTTGCATAAAAATAATAAAAAGTACAAGCTTTCATTACCTGCCTTGTCTACCTGATATGTTATCTCAGTAAAAATTATGTCTGACTTGTAAACAAGTATTAATGAATAATTTATATTTGCTTATAGATACAGCTCACTGCAAAGTCAATTTATATGAATAAATACATTTTTTGATGAATGCATGAGTTGGAGAATTAAGGTATGAATTACAAGTTGAATGAATGAATGAATGAATGAATGAATGAAAAACTAATTATAGAAAGGTTTAATGAATGAATGAATGAATGTATGAATGACATACTTATAACAGAGATCTGATGAATGAATGAATGACAAATGTTTAAATGTTCTAGGACAATAAAACATTGACTTATGTAAAAAAGTCTTTGGTTCTTGTTTTTAAATACTGATATTCTTTATAACCAACAAATATCAACATTTTTAATGTTTGTGAGACAATGTGGGCAGTTATTAGGACATCTTGAGAAATGGAAATACCAGTACAATGTAGTCGATAAGGCAAACTTGTTTGTTCTTGATTAAGGTATATCGGTATATCAACTTCAAAAAAAAACTTTTGTATTGTTGTACAAACCAAAAAGTAAATCAGATTACTTTGAAATTTTAAGGTATACCTCAGGGAAAATTCAGGGGAAAATAGAGGGATATGAAGGGAGAGCTTGGACTTTGGTGACCTGTGAGTCTAATGAGACCCCTCTCTGATGCACTAGATCTCGCACCAAACATGCAGTTCACATTTTTCACAATCTAGGGCTAACAGAGGACTAAAGACTTATTGTTTGATTGATTGATCGACTGGTTTTTTGTCTCTGTGACTCCTTCCGTGTCTTGGTTTCGTCTCACCGATGAATGTCAGTGTTCTAGCGGAGTGCGTACTAAGAATCTCATACACATTAGATATGAAGGCTGTACCCTTCACCTCTCTCGAACATTCAAAATATCACATCTACAGCATACCAAGGCTGTCCCTTACCTCTCACCTCTCAGTCAAGCTTAAGAAACAACAACATACCAGGACTGTACCCTTCACCTCTCTCGAACATTCAAAATATCACATCTACAGCATACCGAGGCTGTCCCTTACCTCTCACCTCTCAGTCAAGCTTTAGCCACCACGACATACCAGGACTGTACTTTTCACCTCTCATCCATGTTTTTTTATTCAAAACACACTGACTATCTCTCTTTCTCAACCCTTAGGCAAAGATGAGGTAACTCTTCCAGTCAATCACCAAACAAAACTTGTACACTTAGGAACGGGATATACAACGATATCTAAAAAAACTTCTACCGGAAAAAATAAACAATTAGTTGATGTCCATTGTAACAATGACACATATCAGTATAACAAACACCATGGTATGGTGCCAGTACTAACCTGTTTCATGTCGTCATTCCAGCCACCGTGACCTGTTTGTAACATCTTGACTTTTTCAATGTCTCCCAATATTTCCACCAAGTCATCTTTACTAAAAGTATGAATCTGTAGAAACCATAAAATGTAAGTGTAACAAATTTCTGCCCTCATCTGCCCTCATCTTAAATTTGCCCTCCTTGGCCGTGAATGAAAAGTTACCAAAATTCAATGTGGGTGAATGTTTCCCCGGGTACAGTATTTTGAATCTTTTTGGTAAGAATAAACACAATTCCATATTAGATAGAGACTAGTTTAGAGTGATTACACTGTGATTTTATAAATGTGATAACATATAGATATCCGCCAACCTGAGTGAGAGTGTTGTGGCTGAGGTCAGTAACAGACTAACCTACCTAAGTAATAGCCTTGTGGCTGAGGTCGGTGTCAGACTAACCTACCTGAGTCTTGTGGCTGAGGTCAGTGTCAGTGTCAGACTAACCTACCTTAGCCTTGTGGCTGAGGTCAGTGTCAGACTAACCTACCTGAGCCTTGTGGCTGAGGTCAGTGACAGACTAACCTACCTGAGTGAGAGCCTTGTGGCTGAAGTAAGTGTCAGACTAACCTACCTGAGTGAGAGCCTTGTGGCTGAGGTCAGTGTCAGACTAACCTACCTGAGTGAGAGCCTTGTGGCTGAGGTCAGTGTCAGTGACAGACTAACCTACCAGAGTGAGAGTCTTGTGGCTGAGGTCAATGCCAGAATAACCTACCTGAGTGAGAGTCTTGTGGCTGAGGTCAGTGTCAGATTAACCTACCTGAGTGAGAGTCTTGTGGCTGAGGTCAGTGTCAGTGACAGACTAACCTACCTGAGTCTTGTGGCTGAGGTCAGTGTCAGACTAACCTACCTGAGTGAGAGTCTTGTGGCTGAGGTCAGTGACAGACTAACCTGCCTGAGTGAGAGTCTTGTGGCTGAGGTCAGTGTCAGACTAACCTACCTGAGTGAGAGCCCTGTGGCTGAGGTCAGTGACAGATTATCAACCTACCCATGTTAGATCCTTGTGTTTGCTGTCCATGACAGAATATCTTACCCGAGTAAGAGCCTTGCGATTGAGGTCCCATGTCTTGCCATCAATATACTGGACCTTGGCAGCCTCTCCTTTGTGTAGCAGCTGGATAAGGGTGCCCTCTTCCTTGATACACTGTAATTTCAGATCAGTACATATGTATGTTATGGTTTTCACGCTTGTACACAAATACATGAACTAGACTTATCAAACTTATTCAAACTGTATCTCCCAGGAACTGCATTTCTCTGGATGCAATTTAAATTGTTTTTTGGATTAGTCCCAGTGTGTAAGTATCAAAGTGAATTTTAATTTCTCTTAAGCTTTTTTAAAATGTCAATCAATTTCCAAGAATCTAGTCCACCTTTACATGTTTGGTGTCTAGTGAATTTACAGAACTGTGCAATACCCATATCCTTGGGTTTCAAACTTTCCTGTTTGTATATGTAAATGTAAGTGCCTTTTTCAGTAAAGAAGGTTTTAATCTCCGGAGATTTCTACAAATGGGCTTATTACCTGATAATTATGGTACGTTTTGCCTTTGGTTTAAGACATGTATTTTAGCAGTAGTGATTCACGAGGAAAACAAAAGCAGCTTATAGGTCGAAAAAAGGTTATCACTGACCTGTTCAATATCCTCACTCCATGGCGAATGTTTGTCTGAACTATCCTGCAGCTGTCGTAGGGACTTCATATCCATACACACCTTAACTTTGTCTGACGGTTTTAAAGCCACTGTGAAGTTCCCCTTGTTTACTACATCTGTAAACAAAATATTCATCTTCAGAAATGATGTTTACCTGTTATCCAATGTAAGTAATATCAAAATAGAATTCCAAGATTTTCAGTTGTTTTTAAGAATTACTGTATATCTAATGTTTACAAATAAGTTAAAGGACAATTTTAAAGTTTGGATTTTTCTAATGTACTGCAATTTTAAGTTCTTCATTAATCTATAATGAATTATATGTGAACTCCTTATGAATAAATCAGGTTTCAATATGGCAAAACCTATGGGATTTATTTTGGCGAAGGAAAAGTTTCCATAGGTTGTACACTGAGTACCGCGATAGTTGTACACTAAGTACCGCGATGGTTGTACACTAAGTACCGGGACAGTTGTACACCTAGTGCCGTGACAGTTGTACACTAGGTGCCGCGACAGTTGTACACTGAGTACCATGACAGTCGTACACTGAGTGCCGCGACGGTCGTATACTGAGTGCCGCGACGGTCGTACACTCAGTGCCGCGACGGTCGTACACTGAGTACCGCAATAGTTGTACACAAGGTACCGCGATAGTTGTACACTAAGTACCCCGATAGTTGTACACTAAGTACCGCGACGGTCTTACACTAAGTACCGCGACAGTTGTACACTAAGTACCGGGACAGTTGTACACCTAGCGCCGCGACGGTCGTACACTAGGTGCCGCGACGGTCGTACACTCGGTGCAGCATCGGTCCTACACTGAGTGCCACGACGGTTGTACACTGAGTGCCGCGATGGTTGTACACTAGGTGTCGCGATGGTTGTACACTGAGTACCGCGATGGTTGTACACTGAGTTCCGCCATAGTTGTACACTGAGTACCGCGATAGTTGTACACTGAGTGCCATGATAGTTGATGAGAGCTGTAGAATAAGATACTGACAATGTATTACCTAACTCCAGTTCTCTCAATAGCGGCACCATGACATCATAAACACTTTCATACATTAGTGACTTAAATAACATTTTACACACTTAAGCCTAGACAGTAATTCTCACTCAATAACAGCACCACAACAACATCAAAATCACTCACACTTGAGTGGTGACTTAATCTACATTTTACACACATGAGCCTTGACTGTAATTCTCCATTAATATAAGCGCCATGACAACATCACAATTACTGGAACATGTAAGCAACTCGATCTACATTTAACATACTACCTTGCATACAAATGTACCCTGCATGCCCTTTCACACTTACCAACCAATGGTAGATGTTCTGGGTAGTATTTACCCCCTGATGTTGCCTGTTTACTTCGTGTGAAGACAACATCTACACATCCTTCTCCACCCAGGCGATGTAAATGTTCCTCTTTGGTGGATTTCCACATCACCGACACGCCCCCTCGCTGAGAGTGGTTCTTCCAATCTTTTAGCTTTGTCACAGTGCCAATCTCCCCCTCACGTCCTGATCAAAGGAGAAAATCTTTAATTTTGATGTAAATATTTTCTTCATTTATGACAATCCTAAACAGATAAAGTAAACAAAGCTGTGTATGTTTTCTGAACCTGTTTATGAAAATACTGAAAAAATATGTATTGATGAAGTTCAATATATTACATTTAATTTTTGTGAAAAAGCCAAAATAATTTGTATAATGATATTGTATCAAACATTTAATTCTCTCATGTTAATCAGTTGACTCATGATTGCTTAGACTTTTAATTGAAGCCAACATCTTCATCTTATTTAGGATGCAAATTAATATTCAAATACACATCACATCTTATATATACACCATTACATTTTTCATTGTTTACTTCTAGCAAAAGATTTAATTCTACAGTTTTAATGGTAAATTAACATTTAACAATAAAATATTTAAAGCCTAAATATATTGTATACGTATCATTTGGCAAATTACGAGATTCAAAAAATCTCTGAGAAAACCTGGATCCATTTGATAATTAAACAAAGATTTGTAAGACTAAAATTAAGTTGAGAAATATCTAGAAAGCATGACTTTGTGGGGATATCAAAATATAGAAATAGATAAAAGTGGGTCTGACTTGTAAAAAAAACCCAATGTTATACAAAGTTCAGAAGACTGTCATAAAATAAAACATTTAACCAATCAGTGATATTCCAATGTACAGGTGTAGTATATATGTACAGATGTAGTATATATGTACAGGTGTAGTATGTATGTACAGATGTAGTATATATGTACAGGTGTAGTATGTATGTACAGGTGTAGTATATATGTACAGGTGTAGTATGTATGTACAGGTGTAGTACATATGTATGTAGTATGTATGTACAGGTGTAGTATGTATGTACAGGTGTAGTATGTATGTACAGGTGTAGTATGTATGTACAGGTGTAGTACATATGTATGTAGTATGTATGTACAGGTGTAGTATGTATGTACAGGTGTAGTATATATGTATGTAGTATGTATGTACAGGTGTAGTATGTATGTACAGGTGTAGTATGTATGTACAGATGTAGTATATATGTACAGGTGTAGTATGTATGTACAGGTGTAGTATGTATGTACAGGTGTAGTATATATGTATGTAGTATGTATGTACAGGTGTAGTATGTATGTACAGGTGTAGTATGTATGTACAGGTCTACAGGTGTAGTATGTACACATTGCTCATAGTGAATACCAATCTCTAAGGCATGTTCACATCAAGGCAATATCGAAAGCTTTCATATACACGATATTTTCTTAAGTGTTTCTCAGATACGTTAATTTTTACGATACAAATTCAAATTTAGGTAATATTTTCTCTGTCCTTATTTAGTGTAAATCACATGTATTGGGGCTTTAAGACTGCCATTTGTGGGTATCACATCAAATATTTTATATCATTGTGCAAATAATTAAGCATACTTACCGTCCACATTTTTCCATTTCCAGTGGGGTCCTCTCATCACTTCAGTACCTTCAAAAAGACCCCTAGAGTCGATCTGCTGACTTCCTTCTCGCTTCAGTACTGCCCATCTGTGGGAACATCAAGTTCACAACAGCATTCACAAAACTGAATTCAATATACAACAGATGAGAGTTCAATTGAGCCTGGTTAAATACAAAATTATCAATTTCATTTAAACAATTACTGCAGCTTCTGAAATTTCAAATAATTATTGATTGAAAGAAATATTTCAGTTTGACCTCTTAATTCTGGTTTGTGTTAAAAATATTTAGAATTTGAGTAGACAAACAAATATGATACAAAGTGACAGTTTAAAATATGATGTACATGTTCATGTTAACGTTCAAATCCAGTCGCTGTTAACATCACTGACAAGCCCTGGCAAGGAGAATAAATCAGCTGTATGACACGGCTTAATTCATTATTTTCGCCTATCTTATACAAGTTTGTATTATAAAATGTTTTAATTAGATGTCTTTTGAACAATTTTGTAGCATTACGGTTAGGTTAAATAATGTTCCACAAATGGTATACATTAATTTGTCCACATGTAAATATGTGTTGACGAGTTAGTGTCAGTGATTCCTAAAATTACAAACAGCTGATTTTAGAGCGACAACCACTGTGGATGAAAATCTTGATCAATGTGACAGACACTGCAGGCTAACACTGTACATCCTCGACACTGATTTTCATCGTGATCTGACAATTTTTGAGATAGTAGCTGTGTAGGTCACAGGGATTTGTTTTGTAAAATTCATGATAACCATCTTTTGCTTTCATTCAAAATCTCAGATATCACAGTCCTATGACCTACATTTATGCATTTTGCAAAACTAAAGTTGGATAATCATTTGTTTTATTCATTACAACAACAGGATGCCAATTTCCACTGTCCTAACATCATTATTCGAAAAGCAGGTCACAGTAATCTAATTTTACAAAATTCTATTTATACATTTACAATGTTCAACAAAGATATCAAGCTTCATTGTCCTATATTCATTTTCAGAAAAATAGGTCACAGTAACCTAATTTTACAAAATTCAACGTAAGAATCTAATGTTTATCTAAGATTTCAATGCTTATTGTATTTTTGGTAAATACTGTTAATTAATATGTACATATTTCTTATTTGTCATAATTTTCATTTAGAAGTGGTGAAGTCAACCATATATTTTTCTCATAATGCATTGTGTTTAACTATTAGTTTTACTGTACAAATAAAGAAATGAATTTTTCTAAATTTCCATATTTGGTTTCAAGTGTATATTTTGCAAATGAGAACTGCGTACTATATAAGATTAGTGTCTGAATAGTACTCATTGTATGACAAATACTTACGGGGTAGCCATCTCCATATCAATCCTAACAAAGCTATGTTTGGTGTCATGTTTGTCTGACATGTAGCAGGGTGTACAAAGGCTGATGTCTGCACATGAAGAACACTTCCATCGTATACCAGCAATCGGGTTCACTTTACACTCAGCACAGGAGATATATTCATGTTTGACACCTAAACAGTTAACGTGGTGAGTCAGCTTAAACCACAAAATAAGCACGACAGTACGGACAAGCGAATCGTCTACATTTTGAGGCAATCTGCTCCTTTATCAAGACAAAAATATTACATAAATTACATCACATGCACAGATCATAAAACAAATACAAAGTATTGTAAGTATAAGGTTGTTTTATATATATTTGTAAATAAATTTACGTTTTAAACACTGTTAAATAGCCTGTTAATAATTAATTTTCAAATTTATCCTTAACATGTACATTGTAAGTGTACACACACTAATTTTACAAAACTGTTCCTTAAGTGGTACACTCAACATCATCTCCTCTGAGAGAGTTTCTCTATCCAAACACAATGTGATGATAACAGTGAATAATCTCTCATTCCACACATCTACAGTGTAATACAATACTTAATAAAGAAAAGAAAGCTGACATTTCATGAAAAAGAAACATCTGAAAGTAAGTTAAAAATATATAGAGATAAAAACAGAATACAGTATATGTGTTTAAAATTACTCTACCAAGTTTTATAGAGTGTATCAAAGCAAAAAGAGATTTGTGTTTACAATTACTTTACCAAGTTTTATAGAGTGTATCAAAGCAAAAAGAGATTTGTGTTTACAATTACTCTACCAAGTTTTATAGAGTGTATCAAAGCAAAAAGAGATTTGTGTTTACAATTACTTTACCAAGTTTTATAGAGTGTATCAAAGCAAAAAGAGATTTGTGTTTACAATTACTCTCCCAAGTTTTATAGAGTGTATCAAAGCAAAAAGAGATTTGTGTTTACAATTACTTTACCAAGTTTTATAGAGTGTATCAAAGCAAAAAGAGATTTGTGTTTACAATTACTTTACCAAGTTTTATAGAGTGTATCAAAGCAAAAAGAGATTTGTGTTTACAATTACTTTACCAAGTTTTATAGAGTGTATCAAAGCAAAAAGAGATTTGTGTTTACAATTACTCTCCCAAGTTTTATAGAGTGTATCAAAGCAAAAAGAGATTTGTGTTTACAATTACTTTACCAAGTTTTATAGAGTGTATCAAAGCAAAAAGAGATTTGTGTTTACAATTACTTTACCCAGTTTTATACAATGTATTAATTAAATAAACTTGACATCATAAAAACTTTGTTGACAAATGAAAATAAATGCTTGCTGAACATAGCTACAATTATACACCTAAATGATGTTAAATGAGTTTCCATTTCAGCTGAGCTGATTTTACATAAAAATCTTAAAATTTTTATTTTGACAAAGAAAATCAAAACTTCAAGACCAATTTCATAGAATCTCATATACAATGTAAATAAATTTAAGATGATTTTTTATTCATACATATGTTACTCAAAAAAGTAAAATTATTGACAGGTTTCGAACTAAAAATAGGGGGGGAACATAATTAAACTCAGACACCCATTTATTTTTTTGCACCATTTTAATTAATTATGTTATGTCACTGTTGATATCAGAATCAATTTCATAATGGTGTAGCCAATAAAAAACGCTCCAGGGTATGTTATATTAGTGACATATACAAAATAATATTACATGGTAGAATTCACAAAAACAGATGGGTAATGCGATAACTAATACATATTATTTAGTCTGGGTACATTGTGTAAATAGTCCTCACCAGTTTGAGCGGTATCAAAAACTCTGAGATCGTATTTCCCTTCCTGTCCAGCGCGATACCGCAGTTCTCTACCAGAATCCCATATGACTGTTACTTTCTTGTCCGACATTTCTGACTTTGGGACAAAGATGATGGTGCCGAGATATCCCTCACCGCTGTCCTGTTTCTTACTATTCCAATCAGGGCCTCGAACAACCCGTGCACCTGGCTTCAGCTGAAGATATATATATACTGAAATGCTTGTACTTCATTTACTAATTTGATATACTATGATATAATACTATATACTATGATATAATACTATAAACTATGATATAATACTATATACTATGATATAATACTATGTACTATGATATAATACTATATACTATGATATAATACTATGTACTATGATATAATACTATAAACTATGATATAATACTATGTACTATGATATAATACTATGTACTATGATATAATACTATGTACTATGATATAATACTATGTACTATGATATAATACTATAAAATATGATATAATACTATGTACTATGATATAATACTATGTACTATGATATAATACTATAAACTATGATATTACAATATAAACTATGATATAATACTATATACTATGATATAATACTATATACTATGTACTTGAAATCTGAGAATATTTTGAGAGCCATTCTGTTCTTCTCAAGAAATAGTGTTAACAAACTTTTGTACTTGAAATCCAAGAAAGCAGCTTATTGGCTATTTCATTTACATGATCAGTCTAAAATCTAATGGGTATAACTAGGATGCAAGGAGCATCTGTAAATGAAACTAGAGAAAGAGCCATTCAGTATTCTTCTTAAGAAGTACAGTTGTGGTATCCTACAATGTTCAAAGATGTATAGTTTATGCACAATATATGTGCAATGTGTGCATGATAGGAAAACTGGATGAAATAAGCTATCACACATTTGCACTTATTGTGCAGTTCTATCACACAGATGAGTGATTCAATCGTGGATAATATAAATTTAGAAATGACTTCAAGATAAATGTGAGTTTGGGTTTAATATTTTCTTAATATATTTCTTAATTAAGCTTTAAATCTATAGGTTGGACTCATATAGATCTATCAGATACAGAATTTAAAGTGTTTTGTTTACAAACTGCAACACGTGACTAGCCCCAGAGAACAGATGCTTTTCATATACATGGATGTAAACATCAAATGGATGTCTCCTTTTTTCTCTGCAATAAATCATTTTAGACCTCATACTGTAACAAATGAAACTTTAGTTAATATAATTTTTTTCTGATCAATCCCTAAAAACATATGGGCATTTCTTGAAAGCTAGGGGAACCTACAAATGAAATATGACAAAACTAATTCAGCACCTCTCAAGATTTAGCAATAACAAACTTTCATAGTCAAATCAACGTTGCCAATCTTACTACCGTCAGCTTTTTCTGGTAAGTCCTAAAATCAAACGGGCACAACTAGGGAAAAACGGAACTTATATGTGAAATCTGCAAAAAATCCATCCAGTTCTTCTAAAGAAATTGATTCTTTCATGATTAAAATCCAAGACGGCTGCTTGTCAATCATACAAAAACATGGAGATTGCCCTAAAATTAAAGCAATCAAACAAAATCAGGCAGACTCCTACAAAATTGAAGGCAATATACAGAATTTTACCACAGCCCACACAAACATATAATATAGTTGTATTAAAGGTTTTACTTAAGTTTTTAAAATCTAGATGATATGATGAAATATTTCATTTAATTTAAGATATTAATGCTTATTCTATTAAGCAGTTATAATCAGGATAGTCCAAGTATGTACAGGGTCAAGACTATTTCCTTTATATTTTCCTTTTAGAAAAGCTTTGACTGCAGGTTTACAATCAACCTAGCTAACATTAAGTATCAGAGATTTTACTTCTGCCTCTCAAGCTACACAAGTAGTACAGGAATCTGTGGTGGAGACTATAAAGACAGCAATATATATTATGCACTCCATCAATATGTTTGAGTTTAGGGATACAGATTTTTATCCTCTGGGATGTGAGGATGTTTTGGAGTTCCAGTGCATCGTCGCAAATCCAAAAATCAAGGCATGCTCCATACTGCCAAGTCACTATTTTATTTGTCATGTACAAGGGATAAGTATTCATACTTACCACAAATTTCTTCATTATTCTACCTAATCGAACGTTCGTCTGCTATAGAACATATGCAGTGTTATTTCCTGAATTACACATCAAATTTGGCTGACACTATCATCGGGATACATGAACTATGAGGATATTACTTCCTTATTCTATAATTAGATAAATCGTCGGTATATACGTACATGCCCGAACATAATTAAATATCCGATGTGTTCCTGGAATCAGTTGCCGTTTAACCTAAAATAACCCAGATGCTATTTTAACGGTATATATACGTAAAGCAAAAGTACATGTTATTTTACCTTTACCATAAGAAAGTTCCGAATGATATGGTTTACGATGACTTCCGGAAATTCCGGTAATTGGTTCCACGCTCAGTTGGGGCACATTTTTATTTATTTTCTTTTTCACAAGGCCATTGTTCAAAAAGCCCAAACATATACTTTTTCAAAAGACAACTATTGGAGGTGGGGGATTTTTAATTTTGTGGCCATCGTATGGGGCATCGTTGTAATATTTCTCTTCTAAATGTGACCTGGCTAATTTGAATAAGTGTAGCGATATCATTTCATATCTGTATCAATGGATATTATAGCTGTATCGAAATCGAATTAATTATATCATTCTACTTTGAATTATTCATAATAATGATGAACTTTATTTATTTTACAACAATTTCGAAGTTTTTTCAACTTATATTAATCATTCTTGTTGGCTTGGATGGAAGCGCGCGAGGGGTGTTTTTTTTTTTTTTAGGAAATCAGAGTACCCGGGGAAAACCCACATGGTCGGGCAGATGAGCCCATACCTTTTCACTTCCATCCCAGGAATCGAACTCCGGACGGCTAGGTGCAAGGCGAGTGCGTTACCACTTCGCCATCCGACCATATTCATATTAATTTAGTGTTATCACTAATTGGAATAATTGATATCATGAGATGAAATATCGACATCGTAGGTTACTCCTGGATATTTATACCATTTAATTCCATTTAGTGATATATTTAATTCGAATTATCGATATCAATAAATCTGTAACATTGAAAATGATTAAATCTATTGAAATTAGTGGTAAGTATACAACGGTATCCTGTCCATTTTCTACACTTACTCTAAGCCCATTGCTGTTACGCTTCTTGATTACAAGCAAACTTTGGAATTAATTAATGTTCGTGTCATCAGAACTTCTTTAACTATAATCTATCATTAGACATCGGTATTTTTGAGGTACAGCGCGATAAGTTTGGTCGTAAAGACTTAAGAGATGATGATGATGATGAATCGTGACGATTAGAATGACACAATTACTTTATATAGACATATCTCAAACATGCTTATATAGCTATATCCTAGACTTGAACTCACCTGGATTCGACCGACACGTACTCATTTACATGTTAGCTAAACACATACGGATACATCAACTCGATTTCACGTAAAGAAAACGAAGTTACATGATAGAATTTGGGGGTATCGTGACGGCTTATCTAAATAAACGCATCAACGTGTCTTAAAGATATTATGAGAAAATATCTCTAACCTTGTCATTTTAGTTAGAATGCATGTCGTATTCAGTTGAACTTTAAGAAGTTAACAAGAACTTTAATTTGTATTTACCTATGCATGTGTATATGACGTAGGTGTGTAAATGTTGGAACTCATTTCGAGTGTAATTCAACGCTTTGCCCTGATTGCAATGAACTTTTCTTTCTAGGTTACCTGTAAACGTATCAAATTTCTGTTTCAATGCATACCGACGTTTTCAGTGAACTAGATATAAGTCTATTTTCGACTAGGTCACGTCACTCATGAAATATGCTCTACTGAAGATTAAAGCAAACGCATATTAATGACTTTCTGTGGGAAACCTCTGTTTCACAAAAAACTAAAACAGTATATATAAAGACTGTCAGCATGGCAACACCATCGATGACATATTTTCTCTGGGCATGGATTGGCGGAGAATCAACCACAGTTTCTAACTATAAGTAAAACACAACTACGTTGCAAAAACTAAATGATCGTAGGCTTCGACGTTGTAAAACGGGCATAAAGCAGTAAAACTGAAACAAAAGTTTATTATTATTCTCTTTATTGCCTCCAGAGATGAAGATTACAGAATAATGTTGAACATATATACAAAGCGTACGATACACATATGAATGATTACAGAATATGAATAACATAGATACACACTTTATGCTTTAGGAGTAGGCATATCAAGTGCAAATTAAGCGAAAGGGGGTATTTTAAGGTATACCCAAAGAGTTTCAAAATACAATTTTCTGACACAAATCAGGTAAATTATAATGAATTGTTAAGCCACATGACTCCTACAAAATGTACATGGACTATTTGTTATCCTTACCACTATATATATTAATTATAATATAGTTTACACATCTTGAACACACAAATACAGGATTTTATCCTGAATTCAATCAGCTCTTCTGCACTAATTTGATAGTTTACATTTCCTCCAATCAATATATGTAATAACTGAAGGTCTGGGAGAGAGTGTAAATAAACACTAAACAGTATATCTGTGGTATTAATTATACAGCACCACAGTTGGTCCCTCAACTCGGAAGTATAAATACACTGTAGCACTAGATGTGTCATAGGGTCTTGATATAGAAACCCACATTTGTGACATAATTCCATGGTAGTCAAGCTACGAATGGTTACCACTATTTTCATCATGTAATGTATATATTTTCTGTATTGAGGAAATCGAAGTGCTAACTTCCATAAAATACTAGGTTTGGGTTGGTTATGTATTTCTCTAAACCTTGTAAAATCATCATCAAACTTCATACGTTCCTTTAGATTGTACTCTTCATATTTCATTACAGCATTATATACTGTTGTTTTCCAATGGCTTTTCTTTCGAAAAATTCCAGTTTCTACAAAAGTATCTAGATTTTGAAGCAGTGAATACTTTTTTAATATTTTGACTATGTCTGGGATGAAACCGATCTGGTATGGTCTACCTAGTCGAAACAAAAATAGTCTGGTAATGAAAACTTTATAAACAAAAGACATTGTTTTCAATCTACACAATCTTCCAAAAAATAACAACTTTCTAATGTCTATATATGCTTCGATAGAGGTCCAACCAAGTAAAGATGTACACATATCTGTTCTGGTTCTCTTTTCAAACCCTTGAATAGATTTAACAATAAAATGTTGCGCCCTTTCTAGCATTATTATTTCGGTTTTTGTCAATTGCCAAAGCTCACATCCGTATAAGGCTGATGGATAAACTTTAATTTTGATAAGCTTCGCCACTGTTAAAGGGTTTAGAGCACAAGGATGTGCACCAGAACGAACAAGGGACATCGTACCCGATCTTAACTTATTACATGCACGTGCTGTTCTCTCAAATGAGTTCTGTTTACAGTTTAATAAGATACCAACATGTGTAATGCCATCAGTCTGTGGTATAATACAATTGTACAGATAAAGCTCATTATACACAGTGCAAGTTCTACTATTTGGGTTTGTGAAGGTAACAATTTTGCTTTTTACAGCAGAGAATGAAAAACGCCATCTTTTACTATAATTTTCACCTATTGATATCATTTTCTGAAGACTTCTAAGACTCGTACTGACCAAACAGATGTCGTCTGCTTGAGTAGGAACATTAACATTTAAATCAACAATTACTGCTCCTAGGCCAGAATTCTCTATTTCATTTAGTAAATCGTTAATATATACTAGGTACATTTTGGCAGACAATGCCCCTCCCTGTAATATTCCACGTTCCATTTTGAGCATGGAGGATTTTAACCCATTGAATAAAACACAACTTTCAACATTTGTATACATACATTTTAGTAAAATCCACGTCTTCGCATTTAATCCTAATTCATAAATTTTGTACAATAGTCCAGCGTGCCACACAGTGTCGAACGCTTTGTTACTATCTAAGAAAGCAACATGGACGTTGGAACCATATTCAATATTGTGACTTATACATTCTTGAAGACTGAATGATGTGCATAGACTACACAAATCTTTTTGATAGGCAGACTGTTGTCTATTTGGAAATACACGGGAATTTAAAACTCGTTGGATTCTTTGTGCTAAAATCATTTCAAACATTTTAAAAAATACAGGTAATAATGTGATCCCCCTGTAGCTGTTGGGGTCTTCTTTCTTTTTACCTTGACCTTTATACAATGTTATAATAATGCCTTTTTTCCAGTCTTTTGGAATGTATTCGTTTTTTATGACATTATTAAATAAGGTGGCGATATATTCAAAAAGTACTGTTCCACCATTTTTAATGTGTTCGTATACTATACCGTCCCACCCTCCTGCTTTTTTAGATTTGAGACCTCTACAAACATAATCGACATCATGACCTACGCCGACGCTGCATCAGAGTTACTGCATCTTGGATAGTTTTATGAACAGTGATTGTAACTAATTGTGTATTACCGATAAACATATATGAAATATGTATGTATAAAAGTAGTGTTTGTGTGAAAAAATAATGTGTGAATGTAAATTGAAATATTAGTATATTTGTATATTACTAATGCTTCATACTTATATATAGTATGAAAATAGTGCTTGTGTAAAATAAATGGAGTAAAATTATGTCAGTTTATATAAATATATATGTAAAAATAAATAATAATAATAATAATAATAATAAAAATAATAATAAAAGTAATGAAATGTATCTAAGACTTGTCTATATACTATATATATTCTATACTTGTTATACTAGACTATAGAAGTTTTACAGGTAAAACACAGGTAAAAATCTCAGGTAAAACAAGATGTATATAATGATACAGACTGTAATTGCTGTCCCTTTGATCTCTGAACCTATTGT